GGTCTTACCATTATCATCAAGAGTTTTTTATAAATTATAGCATTGATAAGGATATCGTTGTCGTTCCATCTTTGGTAATTTACACCAGTATTTAACCGCTCTAACTTGGCTGAGAGTGAAAAGAGGATAACGCCCTGTATCGCCTAAAATGGCCTTAATTGAAGCAAACTTCCCAACCTGTAAAAAGCGTTCAAAATAAGATGATTGGATTTTAATTTTCCCTCATTATATTTAGTGCCCCATATCTCTGCACCATATAACACAATCGGTGCAATTTTACCATAAAAATAGAACATGCTGTAGAAGATGGAACATTTACAAGTTTTTTGAAAAATGCATATCCTAAAATAACAGCTTTAGATGCTTGACATGCTAATTGTTTACAGGATACTGACCATGATAATCTAGAAGATATAACTAATCCTAAATACTTATAATGTTTTAATTTGTAAAGGAACATTGTCAAATGCCCAGTGTTCATGTTGAGCAATTTTGCCTCCATTTCTGAATACAATAACATTTGTTTTTTGTAGTTGACTTCTAAACCCCATTTCTTGCAAAAGGAAGACAGTACATTTAATTGTTTCTGCAGGCCATTAACAGTATATGAAAACATGACATCATCTGCAAAAAGAAGTAACATTAAATCAACAATATCCTGTGTCACCAATACACCATAACAACACTCATTATATACTTCAGTTACAAGTTCATTAATGAAAAAGATAAATAAAGCGGGGCTTAATATGCAACCCTGTCTCACACCCGTAGAAGTGGAAAACCCTTCAGTTCTACCAGATGAAGTTTTAATACAAGCCTTTACAGAAGAATACATATTTCTAATGACATTAAACAATTTTCCATGACAGCCTTTAGTAAGCAGTAGATACAACAATTTCTTTCTATCAACGTAGTCAAAAGCTTTCTTAACAAGCATACATGAATAAGTGAGCGGAGTTCCAACTCAACCCCAGAGCTTTTCTTACAAGCGGCATTATCCTGCTCGCGGTTGTCCCTACATAGACAGTTGGAATACCGCACTGCTTGACAATATAGATGTGAGCATATATACAGTTTTTGACAACAATGGACAGGCGAAGAGTCAACAATGGACACAATAACAATAGCACTTCTTTGGGCCATTTGATGTGATGGCAGACACGGCCAAGGGGGATGACCAATTAAGGCTTTAAATGTCATATGCACAAATTAATGAGAGTGACAGAGTGGTACCTGGTAGCTGACAAGACAATGTACACTGCATGAGTGATACGGATTAAGGATGCAGATTAGCTCCATATAAATAATTACAATTCAGTCTTACATAGCATGGCTACATAGTTTGTGGTCTTTAGAAATATTTGGACGATGGCTGTCCTGAATTAGACGCTATGACAACAGTAAGAACCACGTGTTATTCCGGGAAAAGCCGAATGGTTACGGTGAGCGGAAAGTGGTGAATGACCACGTCATAAATGGTCAAACGGTCAAAAGAACAGGCTAGAAGATGGGCTTGATCATTCAATTGTGTGTGCAGAGGCATATTTATTTCACTATTATTACAATAGCATTGAGGTAATTTTGGTACACCTACAGAATACCGGATACCTACCAGCCATATTGTTTAGTGTCAAGTCACCTTAACCCTAACGCCAACCCTAACCCTAAATCTTACCCTAACCCTAAACCTTACCCTAACCCTAAATCTTACCCTAACCCTAAATCTTACCCTAACCCTAAACCTTACCCTAATCCTAAGCAAACTCGCGTGCTTTCATAGATGGCGGAACGTATCCGGTATTCTGTAGTCTTACCATAAGTTGGTTTGAAATCCCAGTACCTATCGCCCAAGCAATTGTTTATCAACTTTACCAGTCACAGGTCTTTTGCGAATATTCAATTGAATAGTTCTGCTGCTCAAAATGAAGAATTGCTGACATAATCAAACAATATAATATTCTTATTTCGTTCCAGAAGACAGTGATGATAATATCCACCCTGCAGCAACAGTGGGCATGGTTCCATCGACTGAGAATCGATAGTGCAAAGTAACCATCACACAACTGATGGTCTTGTGATAGTACAATACGAGAATCTGATGTAATCTGACCTGACCGAGTCAAGATGTGAGACTTCACTTTGTGCCTCAACGATAGGTGATCTATGTGCGCTCTAGTGAGAAGGTACACGCGGTTAACAAAAAGGTGACAGACACTAATAGGTCAGTGAATAACAGAGATGACACAACCATGTCCTCGTTTAATTGAATCATTCCTTGTCATATTTTGAGCCAATATAGGAATTAATTGTGTAACTTTTGGGTTATAAAATTCTCTCCTAACACACAGTCTCAATAATGGGGTGAAAATGCTGTCGCCGCCATGCTCCTCTTAAATTTAATTGTTATTATCAGTATGGTTGGATAATGGTATCAACCTGCCGCACATACATCATGCATAAAGAATCCAATAACGCTAAACATATATTTGTTACAGCTAAGGTAATAAGTCAGTTTAAAATGTTCGTCACTGTCGATGGTAGCAAAACCGTACTTTGCAGTTTAACTTAACGCAGTTTAGTATACAAACACATAGACATTAGTACATTAAGACTCTGATATAGGTCAAAAGTATCATTTTCTGCAAAATGTTAAGACCCAATGCATTACTTTAAGGTAAATGAATTTGATCTGATGCCATGTCGCCAGTTTCGAGGAAATGTTCGTGACTAATTTAGTACAAAGCATTATCTTACTTTGAATGACTACAATTTATGTTTACATCTATGGTATTTGTCATTCATTATTTGGGGCTAAGAATATCTCTCTGCATGACATATAACAACACATAGAAAATATTCCATGCGTAGAAATAAGAGGTAGTTAATGGTAACCTACTGCTTGACTTGCCAGAGTATGTAATATCCGTTACTGAAATGTTCGTTAACAACTTGAAGATATTCGAAACTATGTCTGTAAAGTTCCGATACTATTTTCTCAGTTATCACGTGACTTAATGATGTCTCTTGAATTGAGACTTAAATAGGAAAGAACGAATTTGTAACTAAACAAATGACACCATCACTTACTGTTTAGTTATAAGTCGCGTTTCGGAGTTTACAAGTTAATGCCACTCTGCAAATTATGACTGACTTACAATAATTGGGCATTAGAATAGAACATTACCATAACATCATTAACAACCGCAACGAACATTTCATCCTAGTAACGGATATTCTATCGCTTCGATTGGATTGAAATTGAGCTACAGTCCTATTATTTCCAGATTTTTCGTCTCATGCTAAATACTTTCAGAATCATTATTTAGAATTTATCAGCCAAAAAGATTGAATGATATTAAGTAAATATGAGAATAGTTTACTTTTCTGCCTTTAAACAATTACAATTTATGAAGATAATGTCGAGTTTTAGTTTGGAATAACGAATAGCTCCAAACATGATTATTAATTCTTTATATTATTGATTTCAGTTTTCAATATCGTGAAATATGTCCAGTTTAAGTCTATCTGAGGATAAGATAGTGTTTCTGAAGACATGACGTTGCCTAAATATAAATTGTTCGTTACTTATATAGTGGTTTATATCTAGTGGTTGGAAAACTATTAAACCATGTTTCCTCCTTAAATAGACGACACATGTGTCATATGATTGAACTTTCGAACGATTTGAAAGTATTTGTCACGTCATGGCATTTTGTTTCATGTGTATCCTGCCTTCCTAAAGTTTGCTATCACACAGTTTGTAAATGTTTCCAAGTTCAGTATGTTTTATCCTAGACTGTACTTGCTGGGAATTAATTAGTCCGCCTTGCAAGAACACGGCTACAGTGTTAAGGAAACATGTACCTCCAAGCGTGGTAATAAGGGCCATGACTGCTTTCTAGCTTATAGGTGCGTGTTTTCATCGGCTTGGGTAGTTATCCCTTTTTATTACGAATATTTCGGTGTTAGGATTCGCTAGGAGTGTACCTATCTTGTTAGCTTGTTATATTTTCAAAAGCTTTCAATTCTTGTTGGATTCAAGTTGGTTTAAGTAGCCCAATATGTTACCTTAGCAACATAAATGATTTCGCTCAAATTAAACTTTGATAATTTTTTCGATATTATTATGAGACATTTGAGAGAGAGCGCTAACACTGTATCCAGAAGGTTGTGCCCGCGCTATAAAACGAGGCGAAGAGAAAATGACCTGGGTGATGAGTAAAATTTAACGAAAGCTATGAACGGTACCTATGTATAACATTTTCAACACTGCTCGCTATTCAACGTGACGCAGACCAAATTCGTTTATCACGTGGCGTTGAAACCAACTTCCACGGGAATTGTACCCAGGGAAAAACTGAACTAGTTTCATGCGATGTTATAAACTACAAATTGATCCAGTGACCCACATACATATATATCAAAATCAGCTAGAGCTTCCTTCGGGAGTCAACTTACACACAGTCGCCAGCTGCTCGGGAGTTTTCCCGGAACGGCGGTTAATGTGGATCAAGGTCGTTCTTCATTAATCACTTCCAGCACATGCTCTAACGTGGTGGCTCGACTCCATAATAATTGGTCGTGATAATCATGTATGGGTTCTGGTTTTGCATTTAGACGCGGAGGCAATCTAAGTGAGACCCACAGAACATCAGTGATGTGAAAAATGTACTGCGTTGTTCAAATACCCCCTACATGTCCACGCTCGCAGTCTATAATCGAAAGCCTGGAATGAGTACGTGATATTTTTCAGTGTATTTTTATCTGTCCAATTATCTTTCAATGAGATGATAGAGAATATTTTTTTCATTGTATAGGTTTTATTGTACATATCTGGGCTTACAATGACTTACGTATGCGATATAAAATTAAAAAAGTAGGCTTCACATCCAGCAATCCTACAACAGGCTACAATAGGCATAGAATCTATAACTCGTACACGTTTAGTTTTAACTGTTCCGTTTCAATGCAGTGTGCGTGGGCTGTGAGGTGGCTTAAAGTTAGTATGTGTATGTGACGCTATGTTTGTAGGCCGGAGATTACTGTGTCATGTTAGTGTGCCCATCTTCGTGTGTTGCAGATCAGTGTCACGTTACTACGTGATCCTGAAGGAGTGGGTGATACAGGTCATTGTCGCAATACTAGACTGACTGACTGAGTTTGGTTTTACGCTGCTTTTAGCAATATTCCAGCAACATCACGGCGGGGGACACCAGAAATGGGCTTCACACATTGTACCCATGTGGGGATTCGAAGCCGGGTCTTCGGCGTGACGAGCCAACGCTTTAACCACTAGGCTACCCCACCGCCCCCACAATACTAGAGGATGTAAATGTAGGAACTATTGGAAAACATTTCAAAGTCATTTCACACAATATAATTGTCTCCTGTTATTCTGTCTGCGTCTTCTAGTGCAGCTCTGCTGTGATCATCCTTGTTGGGCGCCGCATCTCCCACACCAGGTTTAAAGATGTGCTGGAGAATTGAGGCTGCCATACAGTCACCGCTGACATTTGTCATTGTTCTCATTCGGCCCCTGAAACAGAAGCATACAAACATACATCTCATATGTACATTCTGGTTGTGCGGGCTATAGTCTTGTGCAGGATATAGTTTTGTGTATTATATAGCTATATAGATATTATATGTGATGCTACGGTGGTTGTACTATTAACATTTCGCCCTCGACAGGTTCTTCTGGGTGGACCATTGAGATCTTCACGCTTCAGTGAAAAGAATGCTCCTGAATATTGAATAGTTAAGCCAAATGTACAATTATTATCGCCTCAGACAACCACGTGAATAATATTATTTATTATTTTGATCGTTGTTTGACGGAAGTCTGCAAATAATCGAACCCGGACAAGACAATCCTGACTTCATGAGCATCCCTCTACGCATTTGGGATACGATTGCATCTGCCAGCTAAGTTAGCGAGGCAAACCACCTGATCGCCTCTTACGTGATGCTGAACATCAATTCTTTCCCGGTTCTTTACGGGTTATTGATAGGCCAATGGGCCTGCAATTCAGTATTCCTCTGTGTGTCTTTCCATTATCAAGCATGCCCTGTGGACTTCTGTATTTCCGGAAAACACGAGGTCAAACTTTACAAAATGCAGTACCAGGTCCTTACTAACACATGAAATAGTTGGTCCTCAGTAAATATGTACTCACAAACACCAGTCGACAGCCATTACCATGTACAGGTCCTTCACTGGCAGTCCTACAGAGATCATTACCATCATTGTGATCATAATCCCTGTGCCAGGAACTCCTGCTGCCCCTATACTGCCCAGTGTGGAGGCAAGGCTGGAACAAGAAACAAGATGACAGTTGTGTCCAAGCTGCTATGTAGCACAAACCACGTAATAGGTCAAAATTCCCCTTCATACCTTGCTAGGTTACTCACTTAATGTGTGACACAACATTTTCCTGTGAACGCAGTTCCTGTCACAAACCAGCTACACAATGAGCGTGGTGGACATTAATAATTACCAACACAAATACCTGACACTGATTTAGCCCAGCATCAACATTCCGACCAACCGTCACTGAGCACCCGAGCTCATAGTAATGCTCCTGATCAAAACGCAGAACACATGTCTGTATCCGCATATATCTCAAATTCCGATGTTCGTTGTAGCCGATATTACAGGTGGAAGGTTTGATGTGATGCAGATATTAATGATCAGACGTTTACGCTGGTATAAACTACAATGGCATGGCAAATCGAGAAACATAACCCACCGTCAAAGTTTTCTGGCGCCAGGACTTTTCCGCGAGGGAGCCACGGTTATGCATATTATCTTACACGAGTTTCGATAAATCCGTTTCCACCTCATGCAAGTAGCACTAGCCACACTTTCTTTGTGTGGCCAGTTTGTTCTCATTTGTGCTCTTCTGAGCACTGATCATGATCTTTGATTAGTAAGATACCATTGTGGAAAGACAACCTTCAGTTAAGCCTTTATTCTTTGTGCGACCTTGGGTCAATCAGATTCGATTTCATCAATGCGTTCAGTATGACGTAAACAAACCACTTGTACGCGTGAACTGTTTGGCCATGCACATACGTTCTTTGTTAGCTCATTCTTTTTCAAACCTGTGAATAAAACAGAATGCTAGATACCCCAATGTAAGCACTTGTAAAAACTGCAGATGAATCCTGCTTAGCTGAGCCAGATAGACGGAAGTGACAACTTGGAATATAGCTCCACCATCCATGTTAATAGTAGCCCCAATAGGTAGAACAAAACGGGTGATTGCCGGGTCAATCTTCAACTTTTCCTCACAACAACGTATTGTCACCGGAAGTGTAGCCGCACTGCAACGTAACATGTTGAATATGAGTGATTCTTGCAAAGCGATTGTAACGTGATGTGAAATCACTTAAGCGATATGGTGTTTCGTAAGCCAAGACAGAGAGCCTAACTAACTATAGGATCCACACTGTAAGTAATTCATACTGTGCATGAGTGACAGAGTTAACATTCACATCACACCGGCAATATTTTATCTTCAAAACATATTGTACCAGAGTTTACTTCTATGACACTGCACTATTGACAGTCAGGTACCAATGATGGACTATATTACTGCAGACCATGGGGGTGTACAGAACATTATTTAACCAAAACCCTGGTATTGCGTACCTGTTCTGACCAATTAATGTCCATACATAGTGGAGACGATGATATGATGAAAAAAGTAATTTTGTTCTGGAAGAAATTATTTTCTTTTTAGGTGGTGACTAAATCGATTCCTAATAGTTGTACATACAAAAATTGCATCTGGTAGTCAAGAGTTGGCAAACCTTGAGTCAGTTCCCAACGCAGTGGCGAGAGCTTGGAGTATTCCTAGAGATACTCTGAATGGGTTCTTTCTTGTGAAAGCGAAGTATATCAACGGAATGATGAACACAGTATGAATGAAGAGGCCAGTTAGACCAGTGACCATGTACATCCCAAGATGTTGAGCCGTCTCAGCGAGATCCTTTGCACCTAGAATCTTGCCAGTTACCAGAGAGAGGGATTCCAATCGGCGAGTACCTGAGGCGAAAAGACGCAAACACACATCCTAATAAAAACAAAGCTCCTATTTGTTGCCTAACGTCACAAAAATCACCATTCCTGTCACTGACGGCATGCTTTGAAGAAAGAGTTCCTGTCTGCCTTATGTATTTATGCATTGTCTCAAAATTCCAATCCACTCTTGATATTCGTCACAGTGATCACGTTTGTGAGTTTTTGTGATGCACCTACTAACGTCACTGTCCCCGACATAGAATACCGCAGTTCTTCATGTCGCCAGACATACACATTTCAGAAAAGTATCGTACAAATGTCATGTTTACCGCTTCCCGGAAACGGCACAGCCGGACGAATCCCGCAATTCCATCGGATGGCATAGCTAAAGCTTTGAGAAGCAAACTACTTTATACTTAAAATAAGCACCGGTCATAAAAGTTGGCCAGCCAGAATATTTTTATCACAAAGTTTTATAAAAATTATCGCTAGAAAATTATATCAGTTTTGGAAATTGTTTATGATTTCACAAACAAATTATGTACACTAATTGAAAGATATCCACTGGATATGCTAGATGTCGTTATGCAATTACTTGGACTTCCTTTCACTTAAAAAAGGTGTACAACTTAAGTAAAACATTCTTTATTATGTAAGAAAACTGATACTTCACTTATATTCTACTTACCACATGACATAGCCAACCATTTTCATAGTGATGAAGGAAATGGCATCGAAGAATTTAAGGAGAACATTGCCAGGTTTTCCCATTTTCCCAAGGACGGCTCCAAACACACAACAGTAAACCAGCAGGCCTGTAGAAATGGTACTATATTTTAAAACACGTTGCAGAAATTAATTAATTATAACATTCCATTGATAAGTTAATTCCTGCTGACATTTACATATTACGTGGAACATGTGTCATAAGAATTCATCCAAATACTTGTAGCTTGTTTATCATTTGCTACAAAGGATACAAAATATAAGTTTCGTCGAAGTAAATATCCCCCAAACCATCTATAATATCAAGACAGTATCTTTTTACAAACGAAATGTTGTTTCTCTGGCAGACATAATTATCTACCCGTGAAGATCCCGGTTATTTGTCTTGAGTAACCCATGCTTGTCGTAAGAGGCGACTAACGGGATCGGGTGGTCAGGCTCGCTGACTTGGTTGATACATGTCATCGTATTCCCATTGCGTAGATCGATGATCATGCTGTTGATCACTGGATTGTCCGGTCCAGACTCAGTTACTTACAGACTGCCGCCATATAGTTGGAATATCGTTGAGTCCAGTGTTAAATAACAAACCAACCAACCATCCTTTGTGGGACGGGACTTTGGAATACGCATGACGCCTGTGATTTGTGTGTACTCTTCAAAAGAAGTTAAATACCAACTACTTCATACATATTAAGGACATTAAGCTGTCAGGAAGAAAGTGGGTGCTCTTTATAATTAACTTCTTTTCAGTAGTATATTATGAGTATTATGCATTTTCATATTGGCCAAGTTAACCCTTTGGGGAGAGCTGACATAGCTTAATTCGTGAAATCAAGCCTTACCGATTGTATTGACTCCGTCCTTGTATTCAAGTTTTGCCACCCACTCGGGATTGCGTCCATGCATCTCCATTTCATGTTGTTCTTGGGTTGATACATTTGTTCCAGAAACAAACGAGTTTGTTTCATTTCGGTCTATATTTCCCATTGATGTCTCTTTCTTCGTGTACCCTGTGCCAGTAGTTTGAAAGGCCGCACGCACGATGTTTTCAGGGAACAAGTTTCTAAACAAAATAATCAAGGATGCTGTTCAGGGAATGTCTATTTGTTAAACGATCCTTTCTGAGTAAATTTAACGACTTTTACCAAAGACGTCGGACAACAGATTTCCAGCCCCTAAAAAGGCTATGGGAAGCGCATTCTACACGTCTTAGAGCTATCGTTGTCTTGTGATATACGTGTACATTGGTTTTTGCGCATATATATGACGAGCTGGGTTTTTTGACATACGAATGCTTCCTTTAACATTTTGGGTAGGACTGGTTACTTGAGGTTTAAAGTATTTTAAGACACACAAAATATATTTTTAAGGTATGTTTTAATAAATAGATATCCTAAGTGTGTCCAGTGTTACGTTTCCCACCTCACAAGGTCCATGAAAACATCCCTTGAAGAAACGATACGAGTGTCATCGGAAGTATGCCCATTCGCTGATGTGACGTCAATGTTTCCAGGTTTGATGGCGAAAACAAGGATAAACCCTAAGATGATCGCGATCAATGTTGTAGATACATAATACACGAACGTGAAAAGTCCCATCTTTCCTGATGTTTGACGATCCATGCCTGCAACACCTGAATCACACAACAATGGAGATGTATGGAGGCTGAACTCTTGTTGAATGTAGAAGCGTATTACCACTTCGCAGTTAACGGTAAAATACATAGTAATTACCATTTATTGCAATAATATCTGAAGATATGTCTTTTAAACAATGAGCAACACAGGGATATATTATGTATGTTTTGGATAATCAAAATATGTTTGGCTGCCCTCAAGGAGAATAACATCACATGTCATGACTGACTGAAACGCTGATTTGCCTTAAACAACATGCAACGTTCTTTAGCACCTTTTAAAGCAAGACAAGTGTGAAGGTGGAGTAGGTGAGACTTGTTAGAGAAACAGAAACCGGCCATTTGTCTGAATAAAGTCATATCCAATGCGGCACCTACACATGTAGACACCCCCCAGGAATGTTGGAAAACAAATTCGTCCAAGAACGAACTGACCTGTGATCATGCTGGACACTATCAGGGGCACCATCAGCATCTTCAACATCCTCATAAATATTTCTCCTGGAAACTCTACCACGGCAATGGTGTCTGATGAAGGATTGAGTCGCCGACAAAGAAGCCCCAACCGTCGTTCCAAAGAACACTGACACTATCGTTGATATAAGCAACGCATTTTCGCGAAGCAGCATCAGGATCTGTCAACATGTACATGGAGGAATCAAAGAATGAAACGTTTGGAGTCAGGTCTGATTCTCACGGCGAATAGCTGGAAAATTGCCGTTGTGGCGTAAAACAATATTCACTTATTTATTGATTGGAGTCAGGATTAACAACTATACTCATTGTATTGTCATGTGAATATCGGAGTTGGTGAATGCATTTATCAAATGTCCAGGTTGATGGGTTACCAAGACGATCATCGAGATTGAGTGAGTGGGTCGGGTTTAGCACTAAACAAGATATATCACTGTGTGACAGAGGAAAGTAATCCAGTTGTCAGATGTTTTATACTTTTGTGAAACCCACGGGGATGGGCATGATGCTGACAAACCTGAAACATAATCGGAGCGACCCTTATTCGAACCCACAATCAAGGGTTTCTGGCGTCCCCTTGAGGACACACATGAATGAGCGTGCAGGGCAAGTTGTTCCCTGTGGAATATGGTCCGGGATAATTAGCCTTCCCATAAATTTGACACTGACTTCATTCATTCAACACACATATTATCATCATCAATCTCATCAACAGTATTATGAAATACAACCATTAGGCAATATTAGCACTATCATCATGATACAAACACACATATTATCATCATCAATCTCATCAACAGTATTATGAAATACAACCATTAGGCAATATTAGCACTATCATTATGATACAAACATACATTATCACAAAATATCACATTTTATCATACAATGGATAGTGTTCTCGGCAGGATAAAGCCAACGGATATTTTCGGTATCCGTTGGGGTCATATACGGATATCGATGCAAATTAGAGAGGTCATATGCAAATTTCAGGGACTACTTTCACAGTGTAAACAAACATGGCGTCAAGGGTCGGCGGTCGTGTCCGGCTTAACGGCCGTGGTTACGGTACTGTCAGTGCTTTGATCCCAGAAAACCCATGCCTGGTTCTGATAGATGGAGTAGATTACAAAGCGAACATAGAAATTGAAAATGAAGAAAGTCTCAGGGCCCCTTTTCATTATATTATATTTTTTTTTACTATGAACAATTTTCAGTAAAATATGTTCATTTCAGAGACTAGTTGTTAGTCTATATCTCCGTAAGCAAGTGGAGTCTTGTGTTCACCAGCTCAGAGGTAACTAAAAAGTGAATCACCTGTTGTTCTAAGAGATAATCACGGTCCAGTGACCTGGACCCTTTAAACAATACCTGCTGGCAAACTGGGGACACCCCATCCAAGTATCATCTGCCGAGATAATGATGCGTCATGACAAAAGATCACGTGAATTATTTGTCGCGCTTTTTGGTACTCAGTATTAATTGTAATCTGTGCACGTTCATCACACATAAACGTTTTACATTTTGCTTTCACGGGAAGACTTCAAGAGGAGAAGGGGGCGGTGGGGTAGCCTGGTGGTTAAAGCGTTTGCTCGTCACGCCGGAAGCCCGGGATCGTTTCCCCACATGGGTACAATGTGTGAAGCCCATTTCTGGTGTCCCCCGCCGTGATGTTGCTGGAATATTGCTAAAAGCGGCGTAAAGCTATACTCACTTTCATGGCAAATTTTTTTTTGTCATCTTTTGTAAATATGTCACTGTGCCTGTAATGTCCACAACAGTGAATTGACAATTACACAACCCCTTCAGTGTATAATTCCAAACAGAATTTCATCTTACAAATCTTTGTAAAATAGAAGACATTTACTCATCGCAAATAGCAGCAAAGTTGCTGATGCGGCGTTAAGCAAAACTCACTCACTCACTCATCTGAAAATTCTTATTCATTTTGGGGTTGATATGATCCGCAAGAAAATGACAATATTTGTTTTGAATTACAATTGCGCTGTTCGTAATGGTTCTGGCATTCCAAATTAAACAACTTGTCACATACCCTTTGTCTTCGTTGAGTCCTTCCACCCTTCATAGTGAAGTCAGGCCTGTTTCAGAGCTCCAAATGTTCAGAATCCAAATGTGAACAGTTAGATCCTCGCGATCTCTCACGCTTTTAGCTCTGTCGGCTACGTCCGGTGTGTATTGAAACGTATATAACTGCCAGGATGGACAATTATGTAATTGTTGCTGACCTATGACACACGTTCCCTTATCCTAGTTGCCTAGCCTGTTTCCCGTCAAAACGCATTAACCAGACGTATTCAGGAAGTTCGTCGTATAGTTGATCGGTTTATACCATAACCATTTGATTTGACTGGGGACCGAAATGTAGTATCAAAGACATAATAAAGCCCCGGTTTTATTTTTATAATTCAGCTGGCATCATACAATTACACCAAATATTCCTTGAGGCTGTGGAAACGGTTTTGTCGCATTGATTTACTGTGGCCTCTTGGGGTGGTGGGGTAGCGTAGTGGCTACAGCCGAAGAACCCAGTTCGATTCCCCACATGGGTACAATGTGTGAAGCCCATTTCTGGTGTCCCTCGTCGTGATATTGCTGGAATATTGCTGAAAGCGGCGTAAAAACATCCTCACTCACTTGCTCTCTCACGCCATAACACACATTAATCTTGCGATGTGTTTCACTCACTCACTGGTTTCTACAAATGTCACAACAGAAACAATAGTACATACGTAGTTTGTTTATTTGCTATTTAACGACGCAGTCACCAATATTCCAGCTATGTACATAATCGAGTTTGGACCAGACAATCCAGTGATCAAGAGCATGAGCATCGCTCTACGCAATTGGGATACAATGACATGTGTCAACCAAGTCAGAGAGCCTGACCACCCAATCCCGTTAGTCGCCTCTTACGACAAGCATGGGTTAATTACTGAAGATCAATTCCAACCTGGATCTGCGGGTTATTACATAGATAGAGGCCGCACGGTGTACAAGTTACAGTGACAGTAGTGTGATTGTTATATTACGTTTAGGTTCTTACCATTGTCAATAATCAGCGAACAGTAAACTATGAGTTTAAAGGAATTCTGTATTTAGATATAATTATTGAATATCAACGCCAGGTTATAACCAGTCTCAATCATCTTGAAACAGATCATATTTGGCAAAAGGCAAAATAGTGGTGACACGGATCATATAAGGCTACTGATTATCAGAAACGACACCACCATGTATTCGCTTAACTGAGTCATTCCTTTTTTTAAAAAAAATATAGTAGTTAATTGATTAATTTGGGGGCTACAAACGCAGATTCTCTGCTAAGACTTTATCCAGAAGGTTGTATCCACGCCATAAAACGAGGTGAACAGAAAATGACGCGAATGATAAATATAATTTAACGAAAGCTATGGACGGTACCCATGTATTACATTATCTACACTACGTGTCAGCTTACGCTATTCAACGTGACGCATACTAAATTCATTTATCACATAGCGTTGAAACCAACTTCCACGGGAATTGTACCCAGGGAAAAAACTGAACTAGTTTCATGCGATGTTATAAACTACAAATTGGTCCAGTGACCCACATACATATATGTAAAAAATCAGCTAGAGCTTCCTTCGGGAGTCAGTTACACTCAGTCGCCAGTTGCTCGGGAGTTTTCCCGGAACGGCGGTTAATGTGGATCAAGGTCGTTCTTCATTAATCACTCCCAGCACATGCTCTAACGTGGTGGCTCGACTCCATAATAATTGGTCGTGATGATCATGTGTGGGTTCTGGTTTTGCATTTAGACGAGGAGGCAATCTAAGTGAGACCCACAGAACATCAGTGATGTGAAAAATGTACTGCGTTGTTCAAATACTCCTACAGGTCGACACAGGGCAGTCTATAATCGAAAGCCTGGAATGAGTACGTGATATTTTTCAGTGTTTTTTTTTTTTTTCATCTGTCTAATCATCTTTCAATGAGATTATAGAGGTTACTATTTTCATTGTATAGGTTTTATTGTACATATCTGGGCTTACTATGACTTACGCATGCGATATAAAATCAAATCATAACGTTTCGCATCCGACAATCCTACTATAGTGAATGAGTGAGTTTAGTTTTACGCCGCACTCAGCAATATTCCAGCTATATATTCTCTAAGTAATCGAGTCTTGACCAGACAATCCAGGGATCAACAGTATGAGCATCGATCTACGCAATTGGGATACGATGACATGTGTCAACCTAGTCAGCAAGCCTGACCACCCGATCCCGTTAGTCACCTCGTACGACAAGCATTGGTTACTGAAGATCAATTCTAACCCGGACCCTCACGGGTCAAATCCTACTATAGGCCAGATGAATATTGCTGCTTGAACATTTAGGAAAGCTACTCAGACATTGCATGTAGCATTACATATACGAGGTAAATATTATGTTGTGTTTTGTTGAACGCCGTCTCAGCAAGATTCCAGCTGTATGATTGCGGTCAGTAAATAATCGAGTCTGGACTAGACATTCCAGTGATCAACATCATGAACATCGATCTTGGGATACAGGTAAATATTATGCACAAAATGATGGGGTTTTCTCGTACACATAATGATTTAATTTTAGATCTTCTGTTTCAGTGCAGTGTGCGTGCGCTGTGAGCATGTGTTAAAAGATAGTATGTGTATATGACGCTGTGTTTGTAGGCCAGAATCATGTTCGTGTGTCATGTTAGTGTGGCCATCTTCGTGTGTAGCAGATCAGTGTCACGCTACTATGTGATCCAGATGGAGTGGGTGTTTTACTATATTACAGGCCATGCTCACAATACTAGAGGATGTAAATGTAGGAAATATTTTGGAAATATTATTCCACATATCACACAATATAATTGTCTCTTGTTATTCCGTCTGCGTCTTCCGGTGCAACCCTTCTGTGGTCATCCCTGCTGGATGCCGCATCTACCACGCCAGGTTTGAAGAAGTGCTGGAGAATTGAGGCTGCCATACAGTCACCGCTGACATTTGTCATTGTTCTCATACGACCCCTGAAACAGAAAAACACAATATAAAATACAAATGAAATATAATATATATATATATATATACATATATATATATATATATATATATGATACTATGGTAGTAGAATTATTGAAAGACATTTCTTCCTCCACAGTTTCTCCTGGGTGGACTATTTGGATCTTCACCCTTCAGTGAAGTGAATGCTCCTGAATATTGAATATTAAAGCCAAATTTACGAGTATTAGTGCCTCAGACAACCACGTGAATAATGTAAATTTTGTATTGTTTTTTTACCTGCAATTCAGCATTCTTCTGTGTGTTTTTCCATTATCAAGCATGTCCTGTGAACAACTGTACTTCCGGAAAACACGAGGGCAGACTTTACAAAATACAGTACCAGGACCTTACTAACACATGAAATAGTTGGTCCTCAGTACATATTTACTCACATACACCAGTCGACAGCCAGTACCATGTGTAGGTCCTTCACTGGCAGTCCTACAGAGATCATTACCATCATTGTGATCAAGATCCCTGTCCCAGGAACTCCTGCTGCCCCTATACTACCCAGTGTGGAGGCAAGGCTGGAAAAAGAAAGACAGAATGTCACGTGTGTCGAAGATGATATGTTGCAGAAGTCACGCAAAAGATCAAAATTCCTCTACATACCTTGCTAGGTTACTCACTTAATGTGTGACACAATATTGTCCTGTGAACGCAGCTCCTGTCACAAACCAGCTACACAATGAGCGTGGTGGACATTTATAATTACCGAAACAAATACCTGACACCGATTTAGCCCAGCATCAACATTCCGACCAACCGTCACTGAGCACCAGAGCTCATAGTAATGCTCCTGATCAAAACGCAGAACACATGTCTGTATCCGCATATATCTCAAATTCCGATGTTCGATGTAGCCAATATTATTGGTGGAAGGATTGACAATATCAATGATAAGACGTTTACGCTGGTGAAAACTACAATGGTATGGCAAATCCACCGTCAATGTTTTCTGGCGTCAGAACTGTTGTTTCTTCTCGAAGGTTATGCATGCTTTCATATTTCGAGTTTCGTTAAATCGTTTCCACCTTATGCGACTGTAACATTTTATTTGTGGCATATTTTGTTCTCATGTGTGCTCCCCCTAAGCACTGATCATGATCTTTGATTTAGAAAGATACTATTGTGGAAAAACAACCTTCAGTTAAGCCTTTGTTCTTTGTGTGACCTTGGGTCAATCAGATTCGATTTCATCAATGCGTTCAGTGTGACGTAAACAAACCACTTGTACGCGTGAATTGATGTTGGGACATGCATATACGTTCTTTGTTAGCTCATTCGTTTTCAAACCTGTGTGTAAAACAGAATGTTAGATACCCCAATGTAAGCACTTGTAAAAACTGCAGATGAATCCTGCTCAGCTGAGCCAGATAGACGGAAGTGACGACTTGGAATATAGCTGCACCATCCATGTTAATAGTAGCCCCAATAGGTAGAACAAAACGGGTGATTGCCGGGTCAATCTTCAACTTTTCCTCACAACAACGTATTGTCACCGGAAGTGTAGCTGCACTGCAACGTAACATGTTGAATCTGAGCGATTGTTGCAAAATCGGTGACTTATTGTGATTGTGAAGAGATCTGATATCACGAAATCAATATGTGTTTTCGTGTTAAGAAGTCTCGTAAGCCACGACTGAGAGTCTAACTATAAAATTCACCTTGTAAGTAATTCATACTATGCATTATTAGTATTTATATTCGTTTAAGATCAATCAATCAATCTGTATTCTCTTTTTAACTATTAAGAGCATTGGATATATATTGCACATAGATTTGATTACATTGTTGGAAGGTCGTTGCATAATTTACAGTTTCTGCGTAGCTTTAACACGGTTATTGATAATAGGTATAAACTTTGATAATTTCTTCAGAATAGACACTGTCAGTTTGTTGGATGCGAACAATGATTTCATCCGTTATCAAGCAAATGATAACGGTGTTAGGATCTTCACAGAAAGGTCGCATCCACTGCAATAAAAATTTTCTATCTATAAAAAGTGTCCCTCTTCATCATACCAGCTTCTAAATGCCACTGAAGGAAACAGTAGGCAAACCTTGAATCAGTTCCCAAAGCAGTGGCGAGAGCTTGGAGTATTCCTAGAGATACTCTGAATGGGTTCTTTCTTGTGAAAGCGAAGTATATCAACGGAATGATGAACACATTATGAATGAAGAGGCCAGTTAGAATAGTGACCATGTACATCCCAAGATGTTGAGCAGTCATTGCGAGATCCATTACGCCTAGAATCTTGCCAGTAACCAGAGAGAGGATTCCAATCGGCGAGTACCTGAGGCGAAAAGACGCAAACATACAATAACAAATGTGGTCGTGTGATCCTGTTTCAGCTGTATTTAGACATCAGGCTGCTACAGGTGGTTAGCAATGTTAAAGCTATATCAGTTTTTGGAATATATGCTCACGTTACTTTAACTTGTTGATATTCGTAAGTAGAAATGTGTTTCAGGACATCAGTATCACACACTCTCCTGAATACCCCAAGACGTTCCAATCGAAACACTCAGTGGACAGCAGAAGGTACAGATTTTGACCTTGATATGAATAATGTCTGATGATTGGTTGGTTGTTTTGTTGTCTAACGCGTGTGTGAACCAGACAATGCAGTCCTCGATCATGTAAGTCGCCTCTTGGGATAAGCATTGGTTATTGAAGACAAATTCTAACCCAGATCTTCACGGGTTAAATATCTGATGAAGTATTAAAACTGATATCAAGTACGATGTCTTTGAAAACACTTTGTTTCACTTTAACTGATTGAAAACATCAATAAACATTAGAAGTATCAGTGTTTGAGATTCAATTTCGTGACCTGTTGGCCCTAAATGATACCGCGGTTACAAACTGGAGCGACGGCATGGCAAATGTTCATAACACAAATCATTTTCCATATGTAGATCGCAGGTGGCGCCACAGAAATGTTCGCACGATACTATCAGAGTGTTAAGATCCACACAAATAGTCAGAGTATCATTCTGAAAATTCAATTAATTCGTATGACAATGACCTTGGTATTACACATGGCGTAATTCAAAACGTCAACAGTGGATATTATCCAGATTTGTTTCACTGTCCAAACAGATCCACTTCCAATGGAAAGCAAATAGTGATACAAAATAAATGTATCTCTAGAAATAGTGATGACAGCGGGTGATTGCGGAAGGGATAATCTTGTCCTGCCCTGCCGGTAGGAGCCACATTTTACACCATTGTTTAAGAATAAAGTTCCTGTTTGTTGCATATTTAACGCCACAACCATCAATATGCCGGCTTCCGACGGCGTGCTTTCAAGAAAATGTTCTTGTTTGTCATTAATTATGTATTTGTGCATTGTCTCCAAATTTCAATCCACTCTTGATCGCTTCACAGTGATCATGTTTATCAGTTTTTGTGATGCACCCACTATAACGTCACTGCCTGTTGGCACACCACACTGCAGTTCAACATTTTCTTTGAAAGTGAGTTTCGTTACATGTAAAATCCTTTCGTTTATATGTCAACAGGTTTCATTATATACATTTCAGAAAGGTCTGGCAGTCAATCAGTTAGACGTTTCCACTTCCAGTAAATGGCGCCAGTCACTATCGGACGAATCATTATCGGATGACATAGCTGAGCTTTGGAAAGCAGAATAGTTTCTACTTACAAATAGCACTGGTCATAAAGTTGGCCGGCTAAAACAAAAGTTCATAAAAATCATCTCTGAAAAAATAAATCAGTTTAGGTAACTTGTTTATGATTTCGCGAAACAAAATTACGTACCGAAAAGAAGCTGGATGCCTTTATGCTATTACTAGTACTTTGGCTTCCTTTCAGTTTAAAAAATGTATTCTGAAAAATTAAAACAGTCTTTATTGTGTACGAAACTTAATACTTCACTTATATTCTACTTACCACATGACAGAGCGAACCATTTTCATAGTGATGAAGGAAATGGCATCGAAGAATTTAAGGAGAACATTGCCAGGTTTTCCCATTTTCCCAAGGACCGCTCCAAACACACAACAGTAAACCAGCAGGCCTGTAGAAATGGTAATATATTTTAAAACACGTTTCAGAAAGTAATTTATAGCGTTCCATTGATAAGTTAGTTCCTGTTGACATTTACATATTACGTGGAACATGTGTCATAAGAATTCATCCCAATACTTGTAGCTTGTTTATCATTTGCTACAAAGGATATTGAATACATTATTACCCACGTGGTCAACGTATGGGTAGTTGAATACTAATCTCGTACGTCACACGAGTTTCGTATCGCGTTGACCTGTCTCGTAACGACATGACCTGAGATTCTACCGATTTGATTGATAACCGATGACCTCTCAATTAGGTCACGCTCTGACGTAACTATGTTTTCATTCATAACATACACGTGAAGTAATTCATTCTACAACTTATATGCATTATGGGAATGTAAACATAGCGAACGTTGTCGTGTCGCTGTTGTATTGTGAGTCGAACTGAGACATTATATCTGTCGAAAAACATAAACGCAATGTTTCCACCAGTGATGTTAGCCGAGTGAAGCAACTGCAAACCAAGAAACGGGGTGCTATGGAGTAGTTTACTGTAGGAGTCTGTGCGAGGCGATGACAACTGACATGCGTCGTGACGTCGGTTACCAAGGTAGTGACGTCATTACAGTGTGACGTCATGCAAATAGTGTACTACAGTACAAAACTCTTCCGCAACCTCCTTATGAAGCCGGTTTCGGTTTGAAACCATACAAATAACAAAAACACAATTTTGTCCATTAAATGCATGTAAGACGTGGGTAATAAATAAAATACCACACTCGGTCTCATTACATACGAATTATACGAACGTCGTGGCGTTCCTATGGTATCTGACCTCGCTTTCGCTCGGTCAGATACCATAGGAAGGACACTCGTTTCGTATAATTCGTATGTAATGAGACCTCGTGTAGTATTCTCTATATATCCGCCGGGGTAAATATGCCCCAAACCATCTATAATATCATGACAGTATCCTTTTACAAACAAAATGCTGTTTCTCTGTCAGACATAAGTATATACCCGTGAAGATCCTGGTTATTTGTCTCCAGTAACCCATGCTTATCGTAAGAGGCGACTAACGGGCTCGCTGACTGGGTTGACACTTGTCATCGTATCCTCGTTGCGTAATTGGAGATCGATGATCATGCTGTTGATCAATGGATTGTCTGGTCCACACTTGATTACTTACAGACGGCCGCCATATAGCTGGAATAGTGCTGAGTGCTCTGGTAAATAACCAAACAACCAAACTTTGTGGAACGAGACCATGTTTCATGCAATACACATGACGCCCGTGATATGTGTCTACACCTCAAGAGAGGGTAAAGAACTCCATTCATATTACAGGCGTTTAGCTGTCAGGAAAAAATTGGGTGCTCTTTAAATTATTTTCAGAAGTATATTATGAGTATTATGCATTTTCATATGGGCCAATTTAACCCTTTTGAGTGAAAACAAGCCTTACCTATTGTGTTGACTCCGTCCTTGTATTCAAGTTTTGCCACCCACGTGGGATTGCGTCCATTTTGTCCATGCATCTCCATTTCATGTTGTACTTGTGTTGACACATTTGTTCCAGAGACAAACGGGTTTGTTTCATTTCGGTCTATATTTCCCATTGATGTCTCTTTCTTCGTGTAACCTGTGCCAGTAGTTTGAAAGGCCGCACGCACGATGTTCTCAGGGAACAGGTTTCTAAACAAAATAATCAATGATGCTGTTCAGGGAATGTCTTTTGTGAAACGATCCTTTCTGAGTGAATTTAACGACTTTTATCAAAGGCTTGGAAGAACAGATTTCCAGCCCCTAAAAAGGCTATGAAAAGAGCATTCTACACGTCTTGGAGCTATCATTGTCTTGTGATACACATGTACAGTGTACACTGGGATTTGCGCATAAATGTTTTCTTAACATGCGAATGCTTCCATTAGCGTTTTAGGGTTGGACTGGGTAAATGAGCATCAGAGTATTTTACGTCTATGTGGCAACGTCCTAACTACACTAGACACACAAAATATATTTTTAAGGTATTTATTATTAATAATCCCACCTCACAAGGTCCATGAAAACATCCCGTGAAGAAACGATACGAATGTCTTCGGAAGTATAATCATTCGCTGTTGTGACGGCAGTATTTCCAGGTTTGATGGCGAAAACAAGGATAAACCCTAAGATGATGGCAATAACTGTGGTGGACACATAATACAGGAACATGAAAAGTCCCATCTTTCCTGATGTTTGACGGTCCATGCCTGCAACACCTGAATCACACAACAATGGAGATGTCTCTTATTGAATGCAGAAGCGCATTACCACATCGTAGTTAACGGTTAAATACATGCCAATTCTTGCAATAAGATCTGAACACGTGTCTTTTAAACAATGAGTAAACATAGGAATATTTTGCTTATGGTTTGGACAGATAATCTCAAAATGTCTGGCTGCCGTATCAGAGGATAACATCAAATGTCTTGTCTGGCTGGGAAAGTGTTGTCTCACACAACAAACAACCCTCTTCCCAACCAGCCCTAATATTGTATAGCACCTTTTAAAACAATACAAGTTTGAAGGTGTTGTTGGTGAGAATGGTTAGTGGAAGAGAGATTAAGTCATAAAGTCATTCTTCTGGCTCAGATCAAACGCATTGCGAAGACACAATCCAGGAAAGTATGAAAACAAATTCGTCTTGAACGAACTGACCTGTGATCATGCTGGACACTATCAGTGGCACCATCAGCATCTTCAACATCCTCATAAATATTTCTCCTGGAAATTCCACCATGGCAATGGTGTCTGATGAAGGATTGAGTCGTCGACAAAGAAGCCCAACCGTTGTTCCAAGGAACACTGACGCTATCGTTGTTATAAGCAACGCATTTTCGCGAAGCAGCATCAGGATCTGTCAACATGTACATGGAGGAATCAAAGGATGAATCGTTTGGAGTCAGGTCTGATTCGCGCCGCGAATAGCTGGAAAATTGTCGTTGTGGCGTAAAACAACATTCACTCATTTATTCACTGGAATCTCTACGCATATACGCATTGTCATGCGGAGTTGGTGAAAGCATTTATAAAAAAAGCAGTGAATTGGATGTAACATTATACCAGATAGATCATTGTGTGCCAGGGGAAGCTAAGAGGCGCCAGGGCTGAAAACATTTAATAATTCCAAGCTGAAATTCACCTGAAAATCAGCTTTTTGTAAAATATACGACCTTTTCTCATCGGAAATAGCTTCTTCATTTTGGGCTTGATATGATCCACAAGAAAATGACAATATTTTTTTTGAATTACAACTTGTCACATACCCATTGTCTACGCTGAGTCCTTTCACCCTTCATAGTGATGTCAGGCCTCTTTCAGAACTCTAAATCTTCAGAATCCAAACATGAACAGTTAGATCCTCGCGATCTCTCACGCTTTTAGCTCTGTCGGCTACGTCCGGTGTGTATTGAAACGTATGCAACTGCCTGGATGGACAATTATGCCATTGCTGCTGACCTATCACGCATGTTCTCTTAACCTAGTTGACTAGCCTGTTTCCCGTCAAAACGCATTAACTAGACGTATTCAGGAAGTTCGTCGTTTTGTTGATCGGTTTATACAATAGCCATTTTATTTTCAGACGCGGGCCGGAATGAATAAAGTCTCACGCTTTATTATGTTGATATAGTTGACATCTTAGTACAATTACAGCAAAGATTCCTTTAGGCTGTGAAACGGTTTTGACGCTTTAGTTTATTGTGGCTTTAAGGGGCGGTGGGGTAGCGAAGCGGTTAAAGCGTCCGCTCGTCACGTCGAAGACCCGAGTTCGATTCCCCACATAGGTACAATGTGTGAACCCCATTTCTGGTGTTCCCCATCGTGATATTGCTGGAATATTGCTAAAAGCGGCGTAAAACCATCCTCACTCATTCACTCGCTCACTATACATTATTTAATGAGACGGTAGTGATATAATTAAATAAGTCTGAGATGAGTAGACAGAACCCAGCGCCTCCACTAACTGGTAGGGCAGCTGCATGTCAATATTTCAACTTTATATTCTGTTTTACACCACACACGTCAGTATTCCGGTTACATCAACGACATTACGAAAATGAGTCTTGACGAGATAAACTAGTGACTGATATTATGAAGGTCGGGGTACAATAATACCCAAACCCGCAAATATCTCCAGTAGACCATTCTTATTGTAAGAGGCGACTAAAGGGACCCTGCGTGATCAGGCTCGTTGACGGAGTTGCTGCATGTCATGGTATCCAAATCGCGTAGATCGATACTTAGGATGTTAATCACTGCTTTGTCAATCACCAGATTCAGTTAGGTTTAGACCACAGTCATATGGCTGGAACACTGCGTCGGCGGCGTTACGCAAGGACCAAGGAATCCTGCACAGTAAAGCAAGTTAAGGGAGTCTCACCAGCGGATGTATTTAGGCACCTCTGACTAACCACAAATCTTCACAGGTTTCAAGTTTAGCCGCCTTTGGGATGAGTGAGTGAGTTTAGTTTTACGCCGCACTCTGCAATATTCCAGCTACATAGCGGCGGTCTGTAAATAATCGAGTCAGCATTTTGCATTTTGAAATTTAAGGTATATTTGCACCGACCTGCGTTTTTTTTCTAAAACCATTTCTTTTTAATGGGTTTCTGCGGACTAGATCTGTTACAATACTTACAGTAAATAGTTATACTTAGATCCTATTGTATTATCATCAGCTGTTCATTAGTAAATCTAGATTGTCCATCGGTGGTGTGAAATCAATCTATTTAGCATTTACACCGTGTCCCAATTGCAAGCACATTGTGATTATAAGAGTGGGTGAGTAGATTCGATGCTACTTTTAGCAATACATTGTATTCCAGCAATATCACGGCAGGGGACACCAGAAATGGGCTTCACACATTGTACCCAGGTGGGGAATCGAACCCGTGACAAGCGATATTAATAATATTAATATTTTAAAACGGATAACTTTCCTTATTTCAGTTATTCCATACTGACGTGCATCGTTTTGAAGTCTACCAATTGCCTGTTATAAATAATTTCTCTGAAAATATTGTCTGTGTTCACCCTTCACATGGGCTTATTATTGTTCTGTACACATTTTGTCCGTCCGTTGAGATTAAATGACAAACTTTCGTAGCTTCCGTAGCTTTTATAATCTGTTTAGCGACCACGTGTCGTGTCAAAAGTAGCCCCCGCCATAACATTTCCAAACAAAGGTGTTTTCTTTTTCCAAAATTTCAAAATTCAGACAAACATGCAAAGAACACCGATTAATACAGCACAGGAATTTCAGTCCTTCTGACAGTCATTGATGATTTTAAGGCCTCTTTATCTATCTTCCTGAAACATCGTTGCTGAAAACTATATCAAACCTTGTAACAAGTTCAGATAATGATTAGGTATATAATTCATCATAATAAATGTGTAGTTTGTACGATATTAAGATTACCAGTTGTCCCAATTTAGATATACAGATCTATAATTTGTCATGAATCAGACCTCAGATTGCAGTGTGGCGTCTTCATTACCTTCACGGACTATTGCTTTGCTTGAAGCAGACGGATTCTGGCGACGTGTTGTTCACGGGGTCGACCACTACGTGGACTGTCACCAGTGCTGTTGGTGGCGTTGTTTCGCTGTCTAAAACGTTCTATCGTTCGTACGCTAACATTAAAGTCAGCAGCAATGGCTCGAGCACGTTGACCAGCGTCTAGACGTCCAATGGATTGTTGTAGTTGATCTCTCGTTAACCTAGCCATAGCTGCTGTGTTCAGAAAACAAATGAACGATTGCCATTCAAGCCGGCAATTTATGCCTGAATGCATGCATGATGTACATGCATCTCGATTTTACTGTTATGTTTGTGCGAACTCTTCCCTTTCCACAAACAAAAACATTTCAAACCTCAGTCTCAAACAATACTTTATTGGGTAAAACACGCTGTACGATCATGATTAATATTTTCCACAAAATGGACCTCCGGTGTATAATTAAAAAGAAGTTCAAATACTCCATTAATACTTAAATGTCATTTCCAATATTACGACGTTTCCTTTGCTTTCAGTATAGGTTAATAGCGTGAACATATCCATCGAGGCCGCAGCTACACAGTTAAAAATCCCTTAATGATTCATTACTGACTGAATGCTATAATTTGCAATTTCGACAGAGGGTGAAGATGGGAGGGATCATACCACAGGGACACATTATACTGACTCCAAGCACAACCGCCAGGCACGGTAACAACAAGTAACATGTGATGATGTGTACTGGTATGACACGGCCACGGAATCGAACCACTGACCTTTCGCCCTCCGTGCTAACGTTTTATCCACTATACTACTAAATTTGATTGGATTAAGATGTACAGGTTTACCTTATCGCGATCTGTATACGTCAAAACTTCTTGCAAGGATATACTTTATAATTTGCAGACTCCTTGCTGCATAACCCTCACTACCTAATTGATTAACGTTTACCATTTAAATAGTTTGTATGCTTTTATATTGAACATAATGCCCTGAGCTTGTGTTTCATATAGACTTTAATCTTGATTTACAAAAATCATTTTCTATACTCATGCCAATAATGGTTGTCACCTCCCAACCCCAACCCCAACACACCTCACATCCCCACCCCACCCACCCTCTGAATTAAAAATTATTGAAGGGGTGACAACCATTATTGGCATGAGTATATTTAAGGTCTTTTTAAATATTTCTTTCTCTAGTCTTGGTTGTTCAATAGACTCTGACTTTAACTGAGAATTCTGACGATTATGCAAAAGGGTTTTGGCTTTACATTTAAATTTGCTGTTAGCTCTGATAATACATGTTTAACGTGGCAAGTAACGACCAACTTGGTGCATATTCAATGGCCCACCAACCCCAGCGACAAGGTCCGACTTTCTTTCTATCCGAAACAAATATTTGTTTCTATTGCATGTACAATGTATGACCTGAATAACAGCGCAATAAGTACAATCGTATATACTAATTACATCTCGTCGATGAGGGCGCGATCAATTATGCACTTAATAGTGTTCTGACTGACGCTTGTGTTGGCACTCACCTTGTTAATGTAATCATGATGATTAAAACATCCTCTAACGGCTGCATACACGGACCAGGCACAATGAATAATTAACTTAAATAGCAATAAACTGCTCAATGTCAACCAAGGACATAAATGTGAATTTTAAAAAAAGACTCACACCCCTTTTACGTTCGTGCAGTTGACAGCAAAGTGGCAGGCATCTACCTCATAAACCCGTGAAGATCCAGGTTAGAATTGATCTTCAGCAACCCATGCTTGTAGTAAGAAGTGACTGACGGAGCCTGGTGGTCAAGCTCGCTGACTGGGTTGACACATGTCGTCGTATCCCAATTGCGTAGATCGATGTTCGTGCTGTTGATCCCTGGATTGTCTCGTCCAGACCCGAATATTTACAGACCGCCGCCATATAGCTGGACTATTGCTGAGTGCGGCGTAAAACCAAACTTACTCATTCACTCATCTACCTCATAAACATGTAAATCTACCACCAGTTGTGAAATCCCGCGTTCAAAACGATGTGTCCACAAATATTTACGATTACCCAATTACACTGAGTTAAATAGTACTAAAAAATTATGTTTATGTTTAAAAAATCAAAATGAAATTGCGTTGATGTTCTCCTTCTTGATGTTTCTTAAATGCTGTGTTATGTTATTCTCAACAAACTCCAAGTCAGACCTCCATTCAGTAACGCAGTCAAAGCCAGACCGTCATCTCGATCCGCAAGTTCTACTAACACAGTCAATGTATATTGAATTGACATCGTTATGCACTGAGCAGGATAAACTGCCAAACCTAATGCGTTGAATGAGTTTTATAACAGGCTATAATGTATATGGCCTTTTCCAGTCTTTAAAGAATTAGTCATGATACAGGCTATAAATTACGGCAAAATCATTTACAGGTCAGACTGTGACATAATAACAGCGAGCAGTATATGATAGTTTAGCTGGTACTGTGTCCATGAGTTCACAAGTGTCCATGACTTCACACATTAAACTGCCCCTCTATTTCAAGGCACACAAACAAACCATAATTACGTTTCCCCAATGCATAGATATCCGTGTTTCAATGCAACTTGGCTCTAAGCAGCCCCGATGCTGAATATCTGAGCAAGCGAACAAAGCAGACATTCTTGTTAAACATGAAGCTGATCAAATCAGTGTTTAATTGAGTTTCCAAAACTTTTCATTTGCTGAAGAACCCCTACAAACGTAATTAAAAGTGTATCATTTATCACCGTTCCGTAAATATCGCTCTTGCACAGAAAACATTAGGCTATCAATTTGGAAACGTAATTACATTCTCCATGGACGTTTTACATTTGGTGACCCTCTGTTGTTGGCGGGATTCTCGCGGGTATGATGGTGGTCCTTGTACATTCAACACAGATTACTTCCGCTCACCCCTGACACCCGCATTCCCGTCAGCCTCGAACAGTTTCTATCAGCATATCAAATGTTAAACGACCTCTAAACTCTAGATCCGTAGCAAGGGATAGCAGGAGCAACAACAAAAAATCTCAATCGTTGATCCCTCAACAAATACAGATCACAAGAAATATCATTAAAACATCAAGAGACAATTACTAAATTATTCCCCGTTAAAGCAACATCAGTCGACACATTGCCACACCTAAATGTGTATATTATACATTGATATCTCCTCGCAATATTTCCCTCTCTGAGAAGGAAACAAATGATTATTCGGCGTTAATTTGACTGACACAAAGGCATGCCCACGTCGAATGGTAAGAAGCCAGTGTGCGCACAGCGAGGTTCTAAACAAATTTGATTGGATAAATTTCAGAAACTAACGCCTTGAAGCCGCAAAAGTTTTCGTAATGGGGAATATTAAATCAAGTTCTCGCGATCCGATCAACACAATGAGGCGAGCGTTGTAAATTACATTTGGAGCGTTCTTAAAACCACCAAGAAACACAGATGGATAGCTATTTCCAGTCTCGACTCGTAGACGATGAGGACCCCACCCTCGGACCAGACCGACGCTATTACCACCCGGGGACGCCCATGACTGACTTCGGCGTGCGCCCGACCCCTGGGCCCTACTCAGTCAATGGTCTCCTTGCCCCGTCCCAGCCTGCCAACAATCACCACCCCAACACTCCACCCAGGGAAAACACCATCCACCCAAGCCATCCGACTAATGGTTTCGACGACAGATACTTAGGTAAGTTGGTGGCCTGTGTATGACTGCTTCCATTTAATCATCTCTGTCTGTACATAACAGTAAAGGATACCATTACCTTTATGCATCAGCTTTAAATGTACGTTGTAATGTGGCTAAAATGATCATATCTGAATAAGGACAAATTATATGTTGTTACTGTGGTAAGATTTTCACCAAATCCTAAATTTTGGATCCAGTATATAATACGAACCAATAAGGGTTGCGGCTTTGCATGTTATGTAAAGCGTTGAAGGCCGGGGTTCAGTTCACCACGTGGGGACAATGTGAGGAGTTCTGGTGCCCCTGCCATAATAAAGGTCGAATAATGATCATATGCGTTAGATAAGACACTTCTCTTAGATAAGGCGGATGTAACAATTATCATATCCAGTTGGTATGATCATATAACATTGGAAAGTATTTTCTTTTACGCACAACAAGATTTAAAGGTGCAATAAGTTCACTACATGTGGATGTCGAGATTTCCTTTCAGCCTGTTTTTTTCTGTTAAATTGTCGTATTCAAAGTAGGAGATTTGTACTGTATCTGTAATCATATACATGTTTTTATAATCACTATACAATAATCATAACAGATTCGGTCAGAATGGTGTCACAAACACATGCAAGGGCATGTCAGTTATTCGTTGTGCTTCATTTGTTTCACGGATTCTTTGCATGTCAAAATGTCTATCAAATGTAAACATTGAGACCTTGATGTTTTAACACCGATCACTACACCTCTCCTAGCCGTACTAGTCACGTCGCTTAAAAAAGAGTGAGTGATTGAGTTGGGATTTACGCCGGTTTTAGCAATATTCCAGCACTATCACGGCGGGGGACACCAGAATTTGGGCTTCACACATTTTACCCATGTGGGGAATCGAACCGGGGAATTCGGCGTGACGAGCGAACGCTTTAACCACTGGGCTACCCCGTAAAGCGTTTGACGCCGCCGTTAAATAATGTGTGAAGACATTCTGATGCTCGTGAAGCAACATCCGTAGTCCACTCTCACACTCCTTCATCATTTTGTAACTGTTAGCTCATTTTATTTGTCTATGGCTTCAATGTTATCGTCCTGTTGACATAACTGTGTTAAGATTTTAGGGTTTACTCTCATTCTGCTTACGTCTCATTCTGCCTACAGACATGATAAAAGTGTAGGCAGAATGAGATAAATAGCTTCCCAATGGTTAGAGGAAAGTAAGGTAAAATATATGGATAGGCGGATCCAGAGGGTCGGGGTGGGGTGCAGGGGTGTGCACCCCTCCTTTTGACCTGAAAGTTTGTTCAATGACCATTGAAACTCGGGTGAAAATTAAGTGTGCACCCCGCCTTTTCTCAATAGTGTGCAACACCACCCAACCCCCACCACCACCCTAACCCCCTTTTTCAAAAAGCTGCATCCGCCCCTGATATGATTACATCGACAGTATTTCTGCCACATATTTTACCTAAAAATGTTATGCATTAAAGATTATATACTAACATATGATAGCATTACAATGTATATTATATTATATTATATTATATTATATTATATTATATTATATTATATTATATTATATTATATTATATTATATTATATTATATTATATTATATATTATATTATAAACACAAGATAAAAATAGGTTGTAGATCGCAAGCATCGAAAATCTGTCCACATAGCAGGCACGTGTAGTATAACAAATATATTTGGCAGATCGTTGTACCTTCACGTAATATATGTCTCTTCTCATATATCGCCAAATATACGTCTATGTTGCACAAAGCGATCTTAGCAAATGACATACAACTCTCATATATATTTCTTGTGCCCTATGATATAGTGTTATGTGCTGACACCAAGTCATATTTGATAGTAGTGTTAATAGTTAATGACGAAAGGGACAGGTTTCATATCGTTTGGATTACAAGCATTGCAATTTGATAATAAACTGAACATACTATTAAAAGAATAATCTACAATTAATTGCTTGTGATCTCTTGCCTGAATCTGTATTGTATTGTCAAATCACAGTTATGGCATTTTAATGTCAATGAAATCCGTGATAATGTAGTCATTGTACAGTCTATTGTTACAATGTTATAATTAATAATTTCTAACATTTTCCAGAGACGATAACTGTACCATATTGTCCATATGACAACTACATTCAACTCATTTACCATTATACTATGATGGCGCACAAGTATCTTATACTGTAGAAATGATCTGTAATTATCAGCACTAGTAACAATAATCATTACTGTAAATGTCGTCTCCCATACGTATGCAAACATGACTAAATTGTTTTCTAATATAATTTCATTTTTGTAATATCGATGTAAAGATCACCCCATGGTGTTAACTTAGATTGAGATTCGAGGGATTATGCAGAAGCCATAATCATAACAGGCGTGCTAATGAAATTCGGAGACTAGACCAAAATACAATCTTCCGGGAGACATGTACAAAAGTTGGTATCTCGCCGAACACACCGCCACTCTGTCTCAAGAAGATGGCAATGGCTTCTTTGTCAGCAGGCTTGACGTATAATCAGCGATCAGCCAAATATCCTCCCAACTTAATACTGTGAAGCCAAAATGGTTTCGACAGCTGAAATACACCATAAGGGTGAGCAGGGATGTCTTGATTGTAATCATACGATATATCGAGACTCGGTGTCGTCCAGGAAATTGACTACGGTGATAGAATTGTAACAGAGGGTAGCTGCAAACTTTCGAGTTCAAGATAGTTTTCTTTCAGTAGTTTTGCTGGGTTTCACTGACATTTGAAATCATTTTGAATGGGCTATGAATTCGGCAGAGCGACGTCAGAGAGCAATGGATTCGTCCCGGTGGCATGCTGAACTTGGGACGCCTCCGTTCACGTGTATAGATGAAGAGGTGTTGTTAATATCGCTTCCTCTTTCCCCGCAAATCACCACCATGACCACATTATTCCTATTCCTTTGAAGCAATTATTGTCTGATATTATGTAAGATTTACCAATAATTTGATTTAATCACTGGGCACGTATGGTCGCTGTGTTATACATCTATGACTGTGTACATGTCATTATAACTCAACATTTTTAAAAGGTTTCAGTATGCATATGATTCAGAATGTCTGCTCGGATTGTCAATACAAGGTAATTTAGCAAAGAAGTTGAAATTGAGCCCAAGATATATGGATGATCTTCAGCAGTTCCACAACCACCAACAAGCCATTTCTTGCCACTGATAAATCCTAACTAGGAAACTGGTGATACCTCGTGTTTACATCTGTGCATTATACCTTCTCCACAATATTGTATGACAAGGGAGAGGATTTAAACTTTTCAAAGGTCAAATCTAATTCCTCCATTTCCTTTTGAGATACGATCGAGTTTTTTCTTCCTACCAAGATTCTATAGAGCGCCATATGGCTTAGAGGTTGTGAGAACATACAAGATCTCAGTAAAGCTTGCACAACGTTTACAGCAGACCCGTTTGGCAAATCAGTGACAACAGAATGTGAAAAGAACCATTGCGATTGTGACCATATGGTCCCGTGTATTGCTCCAGATGAACATTTGACCTGCCATTGCAGGTGTTTGTGACGTGTGACACCCTCCAGGATGCCATCACGTTTCGTAAAAACTTGGTATTCAACGCTACTTGGTAGTAATATATTAACCCATGCTCATATTATAGTCGGACCCATTCAATCAACTCTTTGAATATGGAATGGGTCTGTCGCTTTTATTTAAAAGAATCCCCACGTGTATGAGACGTCACTAGTTGCAAAAACAACATGCTGCTTGGACCAACTTTACAGGATTCTTCCGTCGACAGTCGCGCACTGCTGAAGCTAAACTTGTGGTCAGTGGACAAATGAAACCGTATATATTAATTTGTAGGAGTATGCAGTCCGTGATATACATGTCCTGTAGACTCACGCTAATACTCACGGACATGTGGAGGTTGGAGGGTTTCAGTTCATGACTTTGGTGAACTCAATGCGTATTCAGAAGAAAACAATCCAATTATAAGAACTGGAAATAAGTGTTGCTTATTTTTCTGGAAGAAAAAAACAGATGAAGAGGTCGCCTCGTGCAATATTCTTTTTTCTAAATAAAGTGGAAAAACGTCGATGTTGCACACGATTTTGTTTTGTGCTTTAATAGGACCTCGACATAAGACAAAACTGAAACAATTTACAGAGAGCGTGGATGTTATGAAACAGATGGTTCTGGTTTTCTTGTAGGAAGAATGATTTAGAGTAAAATACTTACAACAGACCGCCATACATTGTTAGACGGTGTCCAACACGCTGGACAGTGAACCGTGACGTAATCAGGTACTCTCCTCTCTGATAATGTTACAGTAAGCTATTTATCCGCACGCTGCCATTGCCATGGAAACCTTAAGGGTCCATTCATTGTTGCGTGGTAATAACAATTACTTGTCGGCTATGTATGTCGGCTCACCCACAGCAATGATATGGAATGGCACGATCATCATGGCCTTAATGTAACCGACATTAGAAATGCAATAAAATACAAACACCATCATGCAACATTTATCTTGTATACTTGTGGCCACTCATCGTATTTTCAGGACATGTTTTTTTATCCAACTCCATTCTGACGATAATAACAAGATTACAACGCCAATTGTATTAGGGTACTACTAATGTCTAACATGGATGTGCTATGGTATCCCGCGTAGCGTTTACGGAAGATTTTACGTTATGTATAGTTGACATTGTGTAGAGCAAAACATGGTCTTTTCTTTAAAAAGGCACGGGAAAAAAATCTTCCTGGAATATGAATCTCAATTTTATTTGGATAGATAAAACGCAACAATTTATATCATTTCAGTTTTCTTTAAAGGTTTTTTTTTAATAAACACATATTTTCATTATTTCCCGTGTCACATGACGTATACAACCATAGTTACATTTACTCAGTATTTTTCCAGGTATGTTCGTTAACAGTAAACATTTATATGATGTCTTTTTACTAAGGAAAATGACAATGACATTTCTGGGCAGAAAGAAAAGTCCAACCTTGACCTTACAAATTTAAATATAGGACTACAAAAACCCTTTAATAATACAAAGCATATGTCTGTGTGGTTTCCGCAAGCGCAGACACACTCCATTGTGTAGTGGACAGAGCGTCTCCAGAGAGCGGAGTCTCCTTGGTTCGATCCCGAGGTACTTTTTTGTTACCCTTGCTAGCGTTTGGCATCAATGATATAAAACAAGAATTACAATTGGTCAGCTCGGAAGCGATATAATTTGCCTGAGCTGTGTATCCATTTTCATCTACGGCCTTTTGCACCGACATATGTTTACATAAATACAAAAAATTCAGTACGTCAGCTGAGGATATGATGTGTTGTGTCACAAGTGTCACTTATAACAATTTGAAATCTTATAGTCAGTAAGTTGACTCCAAGATTGTTATTTGAAATAAGCTGTAGTTACAGTGGATGGTAAAACCGTCACATGTCGTTATAACCTTCGACCATTATCAAGACTTGTATGTAAAACATATCATACCCATTCTCACAGAAGAACATTGGCACATTGTAGATAGGATATAGCCCCTTTAGGAAACTGGAATCATCATTGTCTTTTATCTGCTTTTGTTACGAACATTTTTAGGATTGATGTCACAAATTGCGACGCTGCCCTGGTCACACGCATCCAAGTTCTACATAGATTCATGTCGGTCAATCATGTCGGGAAAGTGTATTTTGATTTTTATCAGCTAAAAATTTGTTTTAATCTTCTAAATAATGTACTGGCATTTATATGTGCCTGAGGTATGTTTAGTATTTTAATTGGGTTTTAATTTTATTGTATTTCAAGTAAAATAGCCCCCTGTATTTCCACATGGATCTGCTCAATGTTTCAACTAAAGCATTATATCTTGTGTATTTGTACGTTGAGGTGAAACTCTATCTTTCTGTTGTGAGGCCCAAGGGTTGCTAAGTTCCATACGTGTTCAAGTGCCCGTCAGTTCAAACTGCAATCATGCGTTACTATAACATAACTGGCATAAATAATACATATATATATTTATATATATTTGACATAAATATAGAATGTCTTTCGATAACTAACAACTTGCTTGAGAGGCATTTAGAAGTTGGAGCACAAAGGATGGGCAACAATATATGGATGAACAACTTCTTCATTTGAGTGAGAGGGACGTGTAGGTTCTTGCTTGATAACGGTGTTACAACCTACATAGAAACGTCGATCACACTGTAATAGAGACGCTGTTCATCCATATAAGGTTAACCTTCCTCACGATAAATGATATGGATTCGAAATGTGTAACGACAGGGGCGGTGGGGTAGCCTAGTGGTTAAAGCGTTCGGTCGTCACGCCGAAGACCCGGGTTCCATTCCCCCATTTATATTGAAAAGGCGCCCCACATGGGTACAATGTGTGAAGCCCATTTCTGGTGTTCTCCGCCGTGATATTGCTGGAATATTGCTAAAAGCGGCGTGAAACCATACACACTCATTGTAACGACAACTAATCGTTTTACCCCCTGATTTGAAATACTGGCACAGTAATAGGCTGGTGTGAAAGAAAAACAAGAATACACAATTCCCGAGATTGTTCTGTTCAATTGTAATAAACACATACAATCAGATTTCTATTCTGTATAACATGGGAGTGTTTTCATGCTTAATCACATTTATTTAAGTGAGGCTTTAAGAACGTCCATTCTTGTTTCCAGGTTTCACGCCAAACTCAAGTTCCTCCTCCTCGGCTAAAGAAGACAACGAACCAAGGCTTACTAATTACGACATATTCAACCCGGAATCTAAAGTCAATTTTGATGCGAGCACTGTTCGTAAGTATTCTCTATATTACCTCACTGATCCGATGCTGTTTCAAACCGTACTTCAGGTATATCTCGGCGTAACAGCGTGATGTGGGAAGGATATGCATGCCAACGCACGCGTCCGTTCATCTCAAGTATCTGAAATCATTCTTCCTGGATCAAAATGCTGTGGTTACCATTTTACGAATGGATTATGGTAAATACACTGGGCTCATGTTCTAGCTTGGCTTCGTTTGAGACATTGGGTCTTTTATAGCTGAAAGAGTGTACGTAATGACAACAGGGCTCGCGAAAAGGAAACCTGGAGGGTACATGTGCTGCCCTGCATAGAAGAACCGGAATTTTGACCCGATGGTTTTATCGCCTTGAAGCACACGACCAGATATACTGTGACGACAGAACAACGATCGTATTCGGGGGATATTAATCACCGGATCCTGTCATTGCTAAGGGACGTAATATTACATGTAGTCTGGTGGGACTATAGCCCTCATCTGTCTTTTAAGTATCTACAATCTTTAGAATCTTCTATAGCTTCACACTCATTACATGCTGGCCCGTCTTCGTGACTTCGTTGCTATCTTGGCCTCGTATCCTGATTGCGTTGATCGCTGCTCATAGCGTCAATCACAGGATACGCTGTTTATGACTTGCTTTAATTACATTTCCTCGTTTTACATGTAGCTAAAACAACAATGCTACAATACAACAAACATAGAATGTCAAATGTGTCAAGACATATATATTTAGTGTTAAAGTCAAAGTTTGGTGTTGCGATTTCTATCTAAAAATACTAGTAACCAATTTTTTAAAGCATTATCAAGAAAACATCAACCTTTTCAAGTGGAATGTATTCAGAATAATACATTTACTATCAAAAATAATTTCAAAATTGTAAATATACAGATACCTAACACCCACTTATTATATACATTGTAGGAGGATTCAATTGTCGAGATTTGGTATAATAATCTTCCAACACTCGAACTCCATATATAATCTTTGATTCTGACATCAAACATATAATAATAAAAATTTGGTAGTGAAAAATGTCGATTTCAACTGCTGATCTTAAATTTTCAAAACATATTGACCGCATTGCACTTGAGAGATCTACATTTTACTTGGAATGTGAAGTAGTATGTAAATAGGACAAGGACTGTAATACTATTATTTTACACAACATTTGATTGTACTTTTTGAGAGTTCTTACAGCTTCATCTGCATCAGGATTTAATATTTGATAAGGATGGTATGATAATACTCCACAGTACATTGTTGCTTTGTTACAGTTAGCAGACAGTGAAGCGATTACTTTGTGTTTTCCTCAACACGTGATGCATGTCCAAGTCTGTTTAATGTTTTCATTGATATTACTATTGGCCAATATATATATAAAAGATACCATTACGTCAAACTGAGTACTTCCTATTGTTCCAATTCCCGTGATACCCGTGAAGGTCCAGGCGGGAAATGGTCTTCAGTAACCCATGCTTGTTGTAAGAGGCGACTAACGGGATCGGGTGGTCAGGCTCGCTGACTTGACTCATGCCAGCGTATCCAAAATGCGTAGATCGATGCTTGTGATGTTGATATAGGTGGAATGTTGCTGACTGTGGCATTAAGCAACAACACAAATACTTTAATAACCGTCAAAACGTCAATTCTCTTCCGCTGATTTACTCATCTGAAGTAGCATGGGCAGCGATATATGCACCTTATATTGAGCTCCATACACAAAAACACACTCAAACGAGCCAAGCAATACACCTGCACCTTCAGCCTTTAGCCTTTTTGTTTACATTTCACAGTTTTAGATACAATATTTACCAATATTTCAAAGAACGCCTTACGACTCCTGATCACATGTTGTTTAAGGTCACAGTATTGCTGTCATAAATGTTTTACAGTCGACAAACCAGTTCCCCTGTTGTATATTTTGTTTAATTAAACCGAGTTCAGCATTCGTGTTAGTTTTCTTCATTGAATGTTACAGTTTATTTCACATTTCTGTTTTCTATCACACTTCACATGATATCATTTTATACCTTTACATCCCTGAGAGTCATGACCACAAAAACAAATCCTTACGCTGGTTATATAGCGAACTATGTGTTTTCAAATCCCAAAGAGATGACTAGTTGTATAAAATACACACTCAAGATAACTATCAAAGCTTCACAAAGATCCCAAGCGTCACTAAAGAACAAAGACAGCCTGGTCTTTTTCTTCAAAGAAATATCGATTGTTCCGGAGCGAGCCGCTCGGCATGACAAAGCTTGGTTGCAGCAGCTTAGTGTCCTGCTGTGCGATACTGTTAGGTTTCACTGCTGGAGGGACTAGGATCAGATGTCCCCTTGAGATAAAGACATGTTTGGTCACAATTATCCTACACGCGCTGCGTACGTTTAGTGCGACATTTGAGAGTAGTCAAATAAAGGGATGGGATTTGGAGAGCTCTCAACCGCCGTTGTGTTGTCATTTCCTAATCATCGTACAATTACAATGCATGTAAGTGGGGTTGAATGTTATTGATGCTCTGTGTCGGCATCTATGCTGACTAAAATATTAACGGGCTGTAACTTCGAGACATGTGGACATTCGAGGTATAGTCTACATATAGACCAGTACATCTCGACTGATAAAGAGGATTATAGATCCATAGAAGTACGACTGCATTGATTAGAAATCATAAGCTCAAAGGTTTAATGACAAACTAAAAGGTAATTCGCAGGCTGAGATCAAGAAGAAGTGTTTAATTGTATACAGTGTACAGTCTTATATTTCATGCACGATTGACAAGATGCGTACACGTACCTTAAAAAGCTTATTGGGCGTAGCAGCGACCAGACGTCAGCACCTCACTGAGTGGGACGTTTTGTCGTGTCCGTTCACTTAACAAAGACGACAGAGTGTAATATAAAACGATTGATTCAGCTGGCGTGTCATGCAATATACCTACATTAAGTAGATTTAAATCCTGCATTATTGACTTTATGCAATGATATAATTACACAATTGAATAATAGCATGCGTGAACAGAAAACCTTGAAAAGTTTTCTAAAACTCCAGCAAAGAGAAATAGGGAAGCAAAACGTTGGCATCATGAAAAAGCTTGGCCATGTTTTATTTGCGTGAAAGGCGGCCATGTTCTGATCAAAAGTTTTAATTATTTGCTCAAAATAGCGAAGGCGATGTGGAATACCTTCTTCCGTAGGTAGCTTTATAATTGAACATACAAAGGCCGACAACTTCTGTCTGAGGAGAGAACTTGTTTGGCTTCTTTCTTGCGCCATCGTGCCTCACAGCGAGTTCCACAATCACGTGACCCCCGGCCGCGAGAGTTCCGGTGCTGCGAGACAATTTCGCTGACTGAAGGCTTACAAGAGGCAGCGCGAATAACAAATGGAGGGGAACCCGTACTTGTGTAAACTCTGATTATATCGAATGAACGCTGCCGTGGTAATTTGACAAATTTTGTTAGTTTAATTAAGTTTGCGAAATGAGAAGAAATACAATACCTCCAGTCAATTTGTTTTGTTATAAACAACATAACTGAAATTACAGCAGAGGCTGAACAGCCCATCACGAAACATGATAAACAAATCAGTTTCAGTCTTGATGTAAATGGAAATTATAACTTGATTGTGATTATGGTGTTTTGATACGGCAATCAGATGTCCGATCGCGACTGTCTGTTTTCTGTTTCTTCTTCACGGCGTCTACTATAATCCCATTTTCGAAGTCTCGAACCTTGTGTTTCATCTTGACTGTTGCGAAATCTATTAACCCATGGGTGATTTACCCAGGTCTCATTTGTTCCAGTTCACGGGGGTCTCTATGTGATTTTAACAATTCGCTGGACGTTTACATGCTTTACATCATTTTGAGGGGTTTGATATGATGTTCGTAATTCTGTAGTTGTCTGTATTCTTTCCCTCCTTCTGCGGATGTGTATACTATTCCATCATTCTGACGTATATCTCTAGTGTATTCTCTATTTAAAAGTTCAAAAATAATTCACTAACAACCATAAACAAGCACAATCGTGTAATGGGTTCTCTGTTTAGCAGGGACTTCTTATGATAAAAAAACTCTTTTCGGTCGCTTTTAATTATACGTTTCACAGGGTGGTATACATAGTTCACAATATCTACAGTCATGATTGTATAACCATTCCCTGAGAAGATTCAGGGTCTGAAAGAGGGAAAGACGTTTAAGTACATTATACATCATAAATTATTCAAATGTAAGTTAATGCACTCATATTTTAACATGTTTAAATTCTACACTTTTGTTTTGAGTTTGAAGGTAATACATTATGCATTTATTAGTAAAACTGTCTAATTATAAATTGTAAACATGTTCAAGAACTAAAACATATTTAATTGTAAAAATGTACATCATTTACACATGTTTAAAGTTTTTGGTATGTAGTGTTTAGATTGTGTTATTTGATATGTTTAGACCCACAACGTAAATGTGTAAACGATGTTTGAGGTTCGTAATATTTCACGGATCTTTATCAAATTTGTTTGTAAAAACATTCACTTTTTCAGTCGAATTGAAATACAATCAACAATATATGTGCGATCAATCTACATTAAAAGAAACTCAACTAATCGGAGTTCATAAATGTCACATCAAGATACACATTCAATGCATTTACCTACGTTTTAATTCAATATAATTAAGAAATACTGTGTTAAATTTTAATCGTTCTTACATTTGCTGAGCTAATGGGGGCTATTAATGTGCTTATCCAAGTCGATATTTCTCTACAGTACACACCAAGTTGTATCCGAAGCTTTGGATGGTGGATGGTGTTTTCTACGAAGGGACATAACTCGTGAATCCCTATGGCTAAAGCTCACTGTTATATATATATATAACAAGACATATATATATGTATATATATATGTATACTTTCACTTAACAACCCATCCTTCCGTAAAACGAATAACTACTGTTCAAATATTATGTATGGTCACATACATTTCTACGCAAAGTCTACTTCTAACTAGGGATAGCTAAAAGTTTGGAAATAGGCAATATCGTCGATAAGAAGAATGAATTAATGATTATCGATATAAAAAATGTCTCATCGATAATTTCGTACATAAACTATTGTGATGGAAAATAATTTACTTATACGAAACACAAAGCTAAGTCTTTATTTATGAGTTGCTTCTAAATTATGTTCAGAACGCTGTTCTGTTCGTAATCCGAGCATAAATGTGTCACCATTCACCAGTGAAGCGAAATATGATGAACTATTCGACATTTTCCCTCAAAGTTTACTTCTCCGATATTCATCGATAATTGGTAATAATACTCTTCATTTGAAACGTGGCACGGTAGTTAATGGCGGATAGGTAAAGTTACAGGGGAGAGGAGATATTGAGCATCTTGTGGAAGATCAGGCCTACACCTATCTTGGAATGCAAGTTCGAGACAAGCTCCAGAGTGCCTAAATTCAAAATAAACTTCGGGTCGCTTAATGAAAATCTGGAGTTCATAGTTAAATGCTCGAAACAAGGTCAAAGCCACCAATACTTTTGCTGTGCCAGTCCTTTCCTATTCCTTTGGAGTAGTTGATTGGACAAAACAAGACATCCAGAGTCTTCACCGCCTGACCAGAGGGATCATGTCTAATAACAGAGCTCACCACCCTCGTTCCACTCTTAATAGTTTACATATGCCAATCAATTCTGGAGGTCGGGGTTTGATCAATGTGGAGGCTCTTCATGATAGAATTTTATTGTGTACGTTTGCACATATTTATTTATCGGATGATCCTCTGGTGATGCATGTCAAGACTCATGATGAAAGCAAGGAATTCTACAGCTATTTTAAGCGTGCCAAGGTTGTTGGACAGAATCTGAAATTTGAGGTTGATTTTGTTGATGGCGATGTACTGCTGGACGGTACATCGATGGGAGTAAACCAGGTAAAAGTTATTCACCAAGTCTGCTCAGAGTCGGTCATTTCTGGAGAAGCTTTCTTAGAAACCATTGCACCGTGTGTACATGCAGTGCGTGGAACAGAATAGCAGTCTCGCCGACTCCTCTGCCTGGATGAAGTCGGCTGGTCTTAAATGTGAAATTGAGGGCTTTCTTTTTTGCTGCTCAGGACCAGTCACTTCCCACTCGTAATCGCCAAATGTGATTCTTAAAGAAACTATTAACATGAAATGCCGACTGTGTAATGAATTTACAGAGACTGTCCAACACCTTGTCATTGGATGCCCTTCCTTGGCACAAACAGCACATCTTAAACGACATGATGGCATGGCTCGTTGCTTTTACTACCGTCTCCGACATGCCTGTGGCTTTGACTTTGAAGTTTCCTAGGAGAAGTCCCATTCGCTGTCTGGGCTGCGTTTAGAGGGGGGCAAGGGCCCTGAGCTGATGATGAGCCTTACCAGCCTGACTGTGCCAGGATCACCCGAACCCTCTCTGCTTCATTTTTATCTCTAATCTGTAAAACATAATAATAGTAAGAGTATTTATATAGCGCTGACTTCCACCACACAAAGGCAATGCTCAAAGCGCTGACAAGTCACAGTTAGGTAAGGTAACACGATGAGGTGGTGTCATAGACGGTAAGGTGGTGTCAAAGATGGTGTGTCGGTGTCACGTAAGGAAAGGTAGTCTGTCACGAAATTTCTTCGATTATTATTGCATGTAATTTTCAGTTGCATTCTAACTTAAACAACATACACATATCGAACAACGCTGTATAATATGATGTCGCTGTAAATTTGAAAACGGATATAAAGTTATTTGATATTTGATCTCCACAATCAGTAATATTTTATGTTTTACGTCAGAAATGTTATCCCTGATCCATTGATCAATTCCTGCGATTTTCTCCGTGATTTACATGGAAGTCGCTAACATAATTATTTAATCAAATATTGTTTCAGCGCGTAAATTGTGAAAGTAGTAACAATATAAAGTATAGACTTGGAACAAAACCAGATGTGTTTCATGTTACAGTATCATTGGATGCATAATAATACAATTGTCTACATTAAAACGTTGGGAAAGACACGATAAATTGCCCATACAACACATATGGACATGAACGCATGCCGAGAATAGCACAAATGACCAGATATTTATGTAACACACATGAAACCAAAACAAACAGCATATAGGTATTAGCTGTTGGCAATTATCCTTAGACTCTTGTTGGGGTGGTCGAACTTGTATTCGGAATTTTCAACAAGACTAGGATAGGATTTTGAACAGTACGTGACACATATCACCATTGTAGTAAGTATACAGTCAATTGTTCCATGTATGAACCTTTGTCTGAGCTCTTCAACCCGACATTAGGGCTGAGACGAATACTCGGGTACTCGAATCCGGGTCGGGTACAGCTGGTTGAGTGTTTTGGCTCATTTTGAACTAGCTGCAGATGGCAAGAGAACCAATTGCCGACTGTGTGGTACCATGGCAATCTACTGTGGAGCAGTACAAGTTCAGTGCACAAACATCTTGCACTAAAACACAATCAAAATAAACGTGTTCATTACATTGTGTAAGTTTTCTCTAATAATCTCTGTCAAATCGTGATTGGATATTCAGAAAGTTGACACAAGTTATGTATTCCTAACATTTCCGGGTACTCGATTCCGATTCGGGTAAGTACATACATCCTACTCGTCCCAGCCCTACCCGACATGTAGTTTGTCAGTCCGAGAGTCTGGACTTCATCTGACATTTTAACACTGTATGGGCTTATATCTTTCCAGATGGACAACCGAGACGTAAACAACGACGTTACCGCACTACCTTCACCAGTTTCCAACTGGAGGAGCTTGAGAAGGCTTTCCAAAGGACTCATTACCCCGATGTATTCTTCCGCGAGGAGCTAGCATTGAAAATAGACCTGACAGAAGCACGCGTTCAGGTGCAATGTATACATTTAATGTCATGTAACACGTTGTATTCCACCAGTCGAACACCAACCTGTATATAATCCAGAATGGCTTAGGAAAACCAGTGGTTAAGATAATGAGCAATGATTGGGCACGATGGCAATATCAGCTTAGTGGTAGCTCACAATCATTAATGTCTTACAAATAATACCATGGTTACCTGGTTACCTAACTACCTTTGTAGTTGTTTTATTCTTGGAAAATATTGCAAATTAAGCATAAACTGAAGAAGATACATTTTTTTATTATTCATAGTCTATAATGACATATATATATAAGGGTTATACTAAATACCTATGTCAAAATTCTTTTTTTCTCCGTGAGATCTAATGGCTTGCATTTATTTCAACTTAATTACATTGTGTTAGCATGTATGTAGCATATTGCCTTGACGTGCAATCTTGACCGGGATGTATTTTATTTTTTTGGGTACAACCAACTGCCCCCATTAGGTGTGGTTCCAGAACAGACGAGCTAAATGGCGGAAACAGCAGAAACAACAGGGCAAGGAGCCAGAGACATCACAAGGTGGGAAACTTGCTCCGCAGTCTCAGTTAGCTGATGACGAAATCCGCACAATCACACGACACGAATTGCATGTTACAGCTTGATCTTGCGGAATAAGACAGCACGTTAGGGAACATTCATACCATGTGATTGTGTTTTGAATTTCCTCATATCCGTGGTCTGCGGCAACATATCAGTGTTCCTGCGACCACTCATTTACGATACGCCTGAGACATGAAACTGGGGGATTATCATAATTTATTTCTAAGTTTAAAACGACTTCATGAATTCATGAACCTATAAGTATGATGTATGTACACACTACCGCAATGGCAAAAAGAATCTAGATGGTACTGGTTTTTCACTGTGTGTAGATACGTCTTATTAGGGCGATATGTCTATCACTTTGTTGTTTTTACAGTGCTTCCACCAAATTCCAAGATCCACAGGAACTGTCCGTCCAATGGCCTCCAAAACACCAGCCTCACAAGCGTCCCCCCAATCACTGGAGTTCCCCTTCCCAGCATGTATTTTCATGGCAACTTGAGCGTTGACTGGACTCCCCCCTTCAGTACATCAGTCAGCCAAACATCATTGTCATCCTTCTTCGCCAACGCCGGAAAGTGCCCCAGTAGGCCCGTGCAATCTGATGGTAAGTGCCCCAGTAGACTCGTGCTATCTGATGGTAAGTGCCCCAGTAGGCCCGTGCAATCTGATGGTAAGTGCCCCAGTAGACCCGTGCTATCTGATGGTAAGTGCCCCAGTAGACCCATGGTATCTGATAGCAAGTACCCCAGTAGACCCGTGCAATCTGATGGAAAGTGCCCCAGTAGACCCATGGTATCTGATGGCAAGTACCCCAGTAGACCCGTGCAATCTGATGGTAAGTGCCCCAGTAGACCCGTGCTATCTGATGGTAAGTGCCCCAGTAGACAAGTGCTATCTGATGGTAAGTGCCCCAGTAGACCCGTGCTATCTGATGGTAAGTGCCCCAATAGACCCGTGCTATCTGATGGTAAGTGCCCCAGTAGACCCGTGTTATCTGATGGTAAGTGCCCCAATAGACCCGTTTAATATGAGGGTTAGTGCGCCAGTGGACCCGTGAAAACTGATGGCTGCATATGTCCAAGTTGACCATGCCATCCAAAGTAAATGACTCCACATGGGCCCAAGGAAAACGGTGCAGTTTGATGGTAAGGTTCCTTCCAAGTCCAAGACCCGGTACACTTGTATTTTCTGACGTTAAATCATCTTGCAAATGTTGTAACAATCTGGCTGCAAGTGTCCATGAAAGGTGTCCTTAAAAGTGCCCTAGTAGTGGCGTGTAATCTAATGGCGAGTGTCCCAACACGTTCCCCACAAGACCATTCACCTTTTGGCCTGTTTTGGTAGTTATTTTCTCTGGCGTTTGAAGTATTAGTATGTCTGGAAGTGATCAGTTTTTCTATACATGACTTTGTGCATCTACCCTTTTTTGTTGAAGGACGGGAGTTTACTGGCCATGATACACTAAACCACAACGGGGTGCATCTGGACAGTGGCAAGTGTATGGCAGAAGCCAATCCCAGGTCCTCAAGCATTGAACAGCTTCGCCTCAAGGCCAAGGAACATTCACAGGCTCTCGCTATTGCCCAGTGAAGATCCGACAAAGCACCTTTTACCGTTCTCTATCTACAGGGGTAGTCTACGAATCTATATAGGCTATTTTGATGTTTGTCCATACAGCTGACGTTTGTGTTTTAATCATACCACTTCATATTAACACAGGCAGTTCTATCTTCTGTCACCAGTTGTAAGCGTATACTCCTACTCTATTTGCTATTGATTTATACACTTTTGTTTATGATGTAGAATGGACTGCTTTTAGCAGACGTCTCATGATATTATTTGTCGGGTATATTTACGTAACGTCTTTCGGCCGGATACCTCACATGTTTAGTTTTGCTTAATCTGAAACGTGCATTGCATATGCATGGATTATAGAGTGATGTTACATCCGCTACAAGCGGGACAAGGTAAGATTAAAGTTACAGTTCATCAATTGACAGGCAGGTTCAATGGCCTTTCCTTAACATATCGAACTAATAAAAATCTACATAATTTCACAGACAATGGACACATTGCTCAGTACAGTTAATCTTTAAATTCATTTAATCCATATTCCCTTCTAAGTGGCGTACATAATGGTCGAGTAATCGCACATACCCCTGGAGATAGAGAATGTACACAATCACGTAAAAGGCAGTTATTTGCGGACCAAGTGCTCACCAAGATGAATGTTACATTTTATCGTTTTATGTTTTCATTCCTTATTGCGATTCGGCATATGATATATCATAAAATCTACAGAAAGAACACCTACATGAAGTTATTTTAGCTCTCAGAAAAGTATCTCTTATGCTTATTTATTTCAAGTGTTAAAATATATGTATTACGTCAATGGTCCAATTGCTAAACGCACTTTTTGCAAGTAGGCCATGAAAACTTAGAAAGCTGTTTACTCGGTCTAAACTCATGTTAAAATATACTGATAATTGATAATTGACGCATATGTATGCGTTGTTTTAGCAATCTCCCATCATTGTAGGGGTGAAGATATATTATTGTTCTATTTTTCTTTCACCTTGTTACTCCTGGGTGACACAAAGACACTTCAATTAATATTGGAAATTAATGTGTTAGGAGTGGTGCACTGAATACCATGACAACCTGTACGCATGTAATGAAACATTACGTGTAATCGATGGCTAAGTAATGGCTGATGGAACCCAGCATGGAAATGATTGACTTATATCTTACCTCCTGTCACCCTGCCGTTGTTTATTCGATCTTCGAGCTTTTTTATACGGCAAATCATCGCAAAGACATTCCGGGACTACCAACGTGTATGAATGCAAGAATTAAATCCATTAACATCATCTAAAAACAACACCTTTCAACCGTCCACTAAATGTACACATACTGATCAAAGCACATTGACCACATTTTCAAAATTTCAAATTTTCAATATTTCGATGTGTTTTAATGTGAATACAAAGAAAAAGATACAAATATATAGTTGCAATGTTTAGACCGTTTTAAAACCAACAGTTGATAAAAAAAATCATACAATACAATCACAACAAAAGAATCACATGTTCTCCACCCCTTCATTGCATATCATCGTAACCCAATCCCCTGATTTTGTGATGTTGTGCTTCTAGTTAAACAGCAGATGTAGTACCGGTTTTATTGTGTATACAAGTTGAACTGTGCAAGTGATGATCCGGTGATATATGTGACCAACATGTACCATTCAAAGGTTTAAGAACACCCGATTAGTGTAGTTAATCTGTCCTTCCTTCTGAGTCGTATGTTTGTCCAATTCCAGCTAATTCCTACCGACATCCTGTTACTGGCAAGGGACACAAGTTTGTTTCCCTGTTGTGATCAGGTTACAAGTACCTATCTGCAGAAACATGGCAGATGTCTCCGTTAGTGTTTCCAATTAATAATCTCTTTCGAACAGTGTTACATTTCACTACGTACTAACAATATTTCCTGATTGAGGTGCCATGTTAAAAGGCGTATAAGAAAAGGGCAAAAACGAAAATTTTATGTGAACAAATGAATCTTATATGTGTAGATCAATTGAAAAAAATTCCAGAGAATATATATAGGGACACTGCCATGAAGTGGTATTCTCTTAATTGTTTCCCTCAGTATATCAACTTTGCGATGGTATTAAAAGCAAAAAATTATCAAAGTATTGTTTAATATCGTGTCCAAAACAGTTCTATAAAGGGATCGTATGAATCAAAACGTATATGTGTACCTGATATATTTGTGTGGTTATAGTTGAACCTTGTGAATGTGCTGTCATACTGCATAGATAACGCATTATTGTGAACTGACCGAATAAAGGCATATAAAGAATGTATGTTGATTGTTTTGTTTCAAATGTACACTGCTCATGAGTTTATTTCCATCTTTTCTAGTTGACTCCACATTACGTTTCGTAGTTGAAATATCGTCTACACTATGTTAACTTTCTGGGTGGTTGGAACTGACCCAAGGGACGGTGGGGTAGCCTTGTTCGCTCTTCGCGTCGAAGACCCGGGCTCGATTCCCCACATGGGTACAATGTGTGAAGCCCATATCTGGTTTAATATTGCTAAAAGCGGCGAAAAGACTCACTCACTCACTCACTCAATGGAACTGTTGAGTGGTTCTAATAGCTTGTAGGTGTGGAGTCACAGCGTTTATGCACGGTGGATATAGCTCAAAATCAGTTTTGGTGTCGGCAAGGCCAGTGGATGCGCTATCATGTCCGCCATTTTACTTGCTTGTTTGCCGGTTCCAGCCATATAGCAAGAGTATTGATGTACGTCGGCACGCAACAAATATACATTTACTTTCTATGCAGATTGTGTGAGGGGTGGATGTTCCATGTAGGAAAGGACGCACTGGCCCTATGAGTCAATAAGCAAGTCACCAGTGTCGTTCATTAATTCATAACATAATTTCATGGTTATTTGGCCCGTATTGACAACAACAATCTCTTTCGGTGGATCATCGAGACTGAATGATAATACCTGTTGTTGACGCATCATATTTACAAACTGCAGAAAATCTGCATTGACATGACGACTGATGGTACTGAGTGAGTGAGTGAGTGAGTTAAAATTTAAAGTCACATCGGGAGTATTTCAGCCATATCGTGACTAGGAAAATTGCACATTTATAAATGAATAAAAGCAAACTTATATAATATACTTACCTGTCTTCAAAGGACAGTAACACAACTAGATTATCACAGAAATAAATTTATAACTAGTAATTAAATCTAAAATACTGTAACTATAAATGACAATACAGTATAAAAAAACAGGCTATATATTGCCAACAACTGAAGGTTCCTGCATGGACTCTAGATGGATTTACACCCTCCCTTCTGCCATAAGCAATTTTAGATAATCTAGCCATCAAGAACATATATACTACGATTAAAAATAATAGTTGGTTTAAATTTACCTTGAATGCTTTGGGACTTACGCACTCTCTCAGGAGGACAATAATTTGACAATACTTCAACCCCCTTTGAGTGAGTGAGTGAGTTAAAATTTAACGTCACATCGGCAATATTTCAGCCATATCGTGACGAGAACAATTTAACTGATATCAATATAGAAACAATAAATTGAGAATATAAAAACCTGTCAGCGAAGGACAGTAAAACTACTAGAATATCACAGTTCTTAATTTAAAACTAGCACACTATCATAAAAATATATCACTATACACTACAACACAATATAAAAACAGGCTATTGATCGCCAACAACTGAAGGTAGATCACCATACCAGGGACCATGGGACTTACATGCTTTTGCTACCTGCATGGACCCTAGTTGGATTTACACCATCCCTTCAGCCATTGGCGTTGATGCTGAGATTTAGCCATACACAAAAATACTACGATTAAAAACCTGGTACTCTTAGATTGACTTGAAATGTTTTGGAACTTACGTACCCTCTCAGGAGGACAATAATTTTACACTACTTCAACCCCCTTTGAGGTACAGCCACTAACAATCTCAGTTACTAATTCAAACTACCAATAATAAAATATATATCTATTTACAAATCACTTAACAAATTTAATTCTTTTAAAAATGCAATAACCAAATGAGAACTGACATTATTAAAAAGATCCCTCACAGTTCGTGACCTGAGATCGAACATTCAACACAGTCAAGCAGGACACGCCCGACCGCGACTCCCCCATCACAAGGGACACAAAACGGAGGATCCCCACCCTTAAGCAAACATTCATGTGTATATCTTGTGTGGCCAATACGACATCGTCGCACGACGACCTCTTCAAATCTGGACTGACAACCCAAGTAGGTGTAACCAACATAGGGTCCTACTTCATGTAGCCTACTAATACCCACCTGAGCGTCCCACCTCCTCCGCATCAGACCACGGATGCAGGCTCCAACGCCAGCACTGCAATCAGAGTATGGAACAAGAAATGGTGTCACAGATCCGCTGAGCGCCGCCCCCGGCAGCAAGATCGGCCATTGTATTCCCAGAAATACCAACACGGCTGGGCAACCAACAAAAGACGATGTCGCATTGGCCAGCAGCAAGATCACTACAAAGTTCAACAATCTCAATCAAAGTGGATGTTTACAAGAAATATTCTTAATAGCCTGAAGGCAAGAAAGAGAATCTGAAAAAAATGACACACTGCTTACACCTAGGGTGTCTATATACATTTAAGAGCCGCCAGCACTGCATTAGCTTCAGCTGAAAATATTGAGCTGTCATTAGGCAATCCGGAGGATACCGTTCTGGATCCAACGACAGTGGCACAAGCAACCGCGCCACCATCATCGGACCCATCTGTAAATAAGGATTTGTATGCACTACATTTACCTTTCAATTGATCACATTCTTGTTCATATTGCAATTCATCAGCCTCCGACTTCTTATACTTTTTCAGTGTCAGGTCAACCTGTGGCCCCACCAATTGCCAAGGAGGAGAAGAAAGAAGACGGGAAGGAGATATACTCTCCAGCTCAATGCCAGCAGCAGAGAGAAAAGGCCCCACTCTTACTCCCAGAGGCGGAACAAGAGACGACGACCTGCCGCACAGATCCCCATAAAGAGGATGAAAAACACAGCTAAATGCAGGGTTAGACTCACTGGAATATAACCCTTTAATACACTGCAAGGCCAGTCCTATACGGCGTTGGTCAAGAGAAGGCTCATCGGCCTCGACATACAGACAGTCAACAGGAGAAGTTCGAAAGGATCCAAGGCAGTGTCTCAGTCCCCGGCGGCGGACGGAATCCAACAGGTCTAGGTTGCCCCCACAGGCTCCACCACAGACGACTGAGCCACAATCAAGTTTGGACGGTATAAGTGCTCGGTACAGTTGAGGGTTTTCTGATCCCTTCCCCACCCCGAATTAGAGACAACCCTCAACAAATCAAGCAACCCTCTTTGAGGGTACAGCCACTAACAATCTCAGTTACTAATCTTAACTACAAATAATAAAATATTTATCTATTTACAAAGCATCTATCAGCATTTATCTAGCAATCCTATCTCTTTTAAAAATTCAAAGATTAAATGATAATTAACATTAAAAAGATCCTTCACTGTTTTGACATTGCAATAGTTATCTCTTGTGATTGAAAAATCAATACAGTCAAGCAGAATATGCTTGACCGAGATTCTCTCATCACAAGGGATACAAAACGGAGGATCCTCACCTTTTAACAGGTATTCATGAGTATATCTAGTATGGCCAATACGACATCGTCGCATGATGTCCTCTTCAAATCTGGACTGGCAGCCCAATTGATGGCACTGGCTGCATGGGGCCGATTTCAAACAAGTGTACACGTAATTAGTAGTCGAGTAGTCTGATGAAACGATTCCCCGTGTGGAATTTTAAACATACAATGCATGAAATCAAGTAAACCGTAACTGTATTATAAGTTTAACAGCTGAGATTGACATATAAACTGGTCAACACTGTTGTATCGACCTTCCTTGAAGTGTCAAACAAGCATTGTCACTAAGGTGACATAATCTCCCGCCGCAAATTATGAAATCAAACTTAAAAAGTAGTGAAAGTGAAGGTCGTCACAAATATTTTCAAGACTGACTTTGACCTTGACATGAATGTCTTAGTGTATGAAATATGCAAAAATAATAAAAGTTGCTTACTGAAAAACATTCAAGGGATATCTTGAAAGTCTATGGAGAAAATTTAGTGAACTGTTCTTGAGACATCTCGCTGACAATCTTTACATGCAGGTTAGCATGCTGAAATCTTCAAATTGTCGCCGTGACCTTGAAAATTTAGTGAAGGTCACCAAATATCGACTGGGCCCTAGGTAAAGCTTGGTGTTGAATATGAAGAAAATCCAGAGAACGGTTCTTGAGATATCTCGCTGACAAGGGTAAAACGTTAAAGTCCCCTTGTGACCTTGACATGAAGGTTAAGGTCACCAAACCTAACTGGGATCTTACTTATACTGTCATAAACCTAGGTACCAAATATGGAAAGAATCTAGTCAACGGTTCTTAAGATATTCCAATTCGTACGTACGGACGTACGTACGGCGGAACGACGGAGCCTAATACTATATCCCCCGCCGTGCGTTTAGCGCGGCAAAACTGTTTCTACATCTCTAAGAAGTAGTCGATAGTACAATTCAATGTGTGACGATTCCAGTTGTTCGCGAAAAAGTGAGCGTATCCTGCCCCCCGGCGGCACCTGTCATATACATTTGCAAAGGTTTGTCCGCTGCTCACCTGAAAACAGTTATGGACCATATAGTACAAGTCAGAATTAGAAACATCATATTTTGGTGGATCAAATTTTCAAGATTCAATGAGTCTACCACAAAACTTTCTGAAACCCTGGCTGAGCCTGAATCAAAACCAGGCGTAAAACTCGTTGTGTTATATATGTCCCTCAGCTCTTACCTTTGTTCAAATACTTGGTATCAACATTTATATTGTATGTCCCTACGGTTGTATTAAGGGAGAACAATGGAAACATATGATACTATCACGTAATCTTAGGCGCCCGTAGAAGCATTACGGCTGGACCACTGACCTAGATGCTTTCAGTTCACATAAAGACACGTGATTATACGTATCCGAGACACAATGACAGTGGATTGCACTGTCCCAACATTTATTTAGCACCATAAGGTATTTACTCGTAGGTGTTTTATTATATATTACGTGCAGTTGCGTGCCTCTTGTTCGTCACCGCAATATTCAGCCTGTTTTACAGGATCAGTAGCTAATCAAATCAATCCCGGGACTGGCATTATGAACATCGATCGACGCAGTTTCGTGTTAGTTCCAATTGAAACAAAAAGCACACAACCCGGTGTGGGAAACAAATAACCAGAATGTCATATATATATCTCGTCAATCAGTGATATCATCAGACGACATGGCCAACGATTCCACGGGTATGCTGACGACAGTCAGCTATTCATCAGTGTCGTACCTACCGCTGTACCGCTTTGCCAACATAAGATTGAAGCATGCCTTGCAGATATTCGCAAGTTGTTGTCTCAGAAGCCTATCCCACCTAGTCTTTGCGATGCACCGTGAGAGAGCATGGAAGAGACAGAGACAGTGACGAACGTTCTTCTTTGGACAGTATCGGAAGAGGCGACTAACGGGAACGGGTGGTCAGGCTCGCTGACTTAATTGACACATGTCATCGTATGGCAGAAAGATGCTTATGCTGTTGATCACGGGATTGCTTGGTACAGATTCGAATATTTACAGACATATAGCTGGAATTAAGCTGAGTGCGGCGTAAAACGAAACTCATTCACTCACTCACTTTAGACTGTACACTTTCCACAGGAAGAGCTACCACACAAGACAAGAGTATGCTTCTTGAGACACTTAAAGTGGATGACTGACCACACCCCAACTGATCATGGTCAAAACGAACTATAAGACAGGCGTCGCCCGTCGCCTGAGTGATGGGATTCCCCTGTGTGAAGTAACTACGTCACTGGCAGACCACCATCTTTTTCTGCCTCCATTACTGGAGACCTCCGACCCTACTGTACGACAGTGATGGTTATACAATGAAGTTACAAGATTAAGAATGCTTCATTTATAAATATGTTACTTTGGATCGTAAACGTACATTGCGTGTAAGCTACGGAGGGCCCTGATCCTCCCAATGACTGGAGACTTGAGACACGTCTTTACCAATACTGGTTCACAGTTCACAAGGGGCGGTGGGGTAGTCTAGTGCATAAAACGTTTACTCGTCACGTCGAAGAACAGGGTTCGAGCCCCCACACGGGTAGAAGCTCCTTTCTGGTGTCACCGTGATATTGCTTGGATATTGCTAAAAGCTACGTAACGTAATAACTAGTCTCTCACTCACAGTTCACAATTTCGGAGTCAAGGAAGGTAAAGGAATATTCATTTAATGCCTAAAGAAATACAAAATCAACTTGCTTGATGTCTTTTATGTCAAGTGTAGGCCATCCGATCAAGCAATACATTGATAAAAGGTTTCCCTGTGTAATTGACCGTTTCAAAATATCAAAAGATATTCACAAATGCTAGTAATTATTCACAACATAATGGTGTTCATACCTCAGGGGTTTTTCACTTTAAAGTCCGCAAATATGTATGCAATAAGTTTTCATGCACATTAGTCATCACAAATCTTGTGGTTATTGATATTAACATCATAATGCCCTTTCTCAACACTGAGATACTGACATCGGAACTCTTCATACAAAGGACGGAACATGTTCATCTTCAAAACGTTTCCTACAACAAATACGTAAACAAGAAGAGCAGCCTTTCTTCAGATACAATATGCCCCCCATCGTCCAGACCCAGTACGGAAAGAATGCTTTCTCCAACGGAATTCTCTTCATAAAGAGTCAACTCTTAGTATCTAGCAGACACGGTTCCGGTTGTAACACTCATTTACACTTTAAATAAAATCCTTATTCAACATTCCATTGTAGATTACAAAGCCAATATTGACGTGATACATCTTTCAAACTCCAAATATAGGCGGGTGTCCATCCATTTGATTAAATAGAACAACCTCATGCTCGTGTTCAACATTTGAATGTGTAGTCAGTCATACGGGCGTATACACTTGAGACAGAAATCATAATTGAGTTGGTATCGGCCACATCCGTTTAGGACGATATCAAGCGGTAGGAGACAAGGTATTTATCACTGACATACCTAACACTTGTGACAGGACAGATCAGTTCATTGGTCATAGACGTAATGTAAACAGTTTTGTACAGGCACCGACCAAAGAAGGATTCCCACTGGTGAAGACATAGAGTGAATAATGTATGCAATTGAGTGACAACCAAGTGCTTGTTGTAAATGTTGGCAAATGGCCCTTACAATTCGTCATTGATTTTCTTTATCTGCTTTGCAAACAAATACAATGAAACTGTTCAACATAGCAGCGAGGATAATCCATTATAAATTATAAATGAAATGGCTCTGGTTTATTGGGTTGGGCTTGTAGTTTATCTGGAATTGAGATCGCCGGTGTTGTCACAGAGGCATCAGTCGAAACGGTAGTCACCAACAACACGTGAGTGTTCGTGAACATTTCAAATTTCCTGGAGAACGAAAATGATCTCGATTTTGACAGTCGTGTCACTGTTCTTTGGAACAAATATGCAGTGTTATGCCAGTGCATTTAACACCTCATACGATGAGCATTTCCATCTGACAGATGTGTTGTTGAAAAGCAAGCAATATAAGCCGATACTGCGTCCTGTTTTGAATTCCAGTAGCATTGTTGATGTGGATATTGTCGTCAATCTTCTCAGCATTTTCCAAATTGAAGAAGCCAAACAGATCCTTATCTTGAATATGTATCTTGATGTTTCCTGGACGGATGAGATTCTGCAATGGGAGCCAACTGATTATGGAGGAGTGGACTTTCTCTTCATACCTCAGAATATGGTCTGGCGTCCCGACATCATATTTGCGACTTCCGTTAACCCATACAAGAAATTGGGAAACAGTGAAATACAGCTGAGATTGTCAAGCGGGGGACGTATGGGATGGTCTGTAGGTGATGTAGTCAATTTGTACTGCAAAATTGACATCACTGCTTACCCATTTGACAAACAGAAATGTTTCGTGGACATAACGACCTGGTCTTATACCAAAGACTTCGTAAATCTACGAGGGAAGTATAAAACCGCGGTGCTGGAACACTATCAGCCGAATGGAGAATGGCTGCTGCAAAGTTCGAGGATCACCACTGATGAGGAGTTGATTGCAGGTAAACGTCACAGTGTCGTTACCATGGAGATAAATCTTATTCGCCTGCAAACATTCTATGTCCTGAATTTGATCCTGCCGATACTCCTTCTGTCCTTTCTCAACCCGTTTGTGTTTGTGATCCCAATCCCCTCTGGAGAGCAGCTGTCTGTCTCCGTCACCGTGCTTCTGTCCTTCACAGTGTTCCTCTCGTTCCTTGGAGACAGTCTTCCGAGGAACTCCGACCGTGTGTCACTCCTGTCCCTCTACCTTGGTATCATGATGACATTAAGTGTCCTTCAAGTCATCCTGACAATTCATGTTCTCAGGATCTACAACCGCGACAAGGGTCCTGTTGGTGAGAAGATGTCTTCACTCTCTAGGTGGATGCTGAATGCGAAAAATAACATCACGGATAAGGTTGACTGTTCAGATGATGAGGTTGGATGGCAAACAGTATCAGCCGCAATTGAGAAATTGTATTTCATCATCTTCTTTACCCTGACAAGCACTGTCACAATTGTGTTCTTTGTGGTGGGAAACGCTCTGAACAAATGAGTCTGAACAGTCGCCATAAGATCTGTACAAAGTACACGTTAGCCATTACTCGACCTCGATACAATTGCACATACATGACTGATGGTGATTTTTGTTACACAGCAAGTAAATTATTTCATCTTAAACGGGTAAGTGTAACCGCAGCTATGGCTAATTTGAACTGCCATCTATAACACTCTCCTTAATCTGCTCGTTGTTACCATTGCAGGCTGAAAACATTTTTTCTGCTTCATAGCTTAAGATCTATTCAAGTCAGTTTGCGTTTTATAATTGAGTGAGTGAGTGAGTATGGTTTTACGCCACTTTTAGCAATATTCCAGCAATATCACGGCGGGGGACACCGCTTCACACATTGTACCCATGTAGGGAATCGAACCCGGACCTTCGGCGTAACGACCGGACGCTTTAACCACTAGTCTACCCCACCGCCCCTTAATAATGTAGGTTGCATTGCGTAATACAGGCCGCATTTAGACTGCTGCGATATATACTACTCAAAAGAAATTAAGGAACGGTCGGTGATATTTCACTCTCTCATTCTATGACAGATGTGTTCCTATACTTTTTATGAATAGTATATACGGTAAGGATTCCGTAAGGGGAACAACGGTTACATGTAGCAGTATAGAAATATTCATTGATCGTATCAAAAGGGGCGGTGGCGTAGCCTAGTGGTGAAAGGTTTCGCTCGTCACGCCGAAAATCCGGGTTCCATTCCCCACATGGGTACAATGTGTGAAAGCCATTTCATGTGTCCCTCGCCGTGATATTACTGGGATATTGCTGAAAGCAGCGTAAAACTAAACCTCACTCACTCACTGTTTTCAAAGGAACTGTTTGATGAACTTTGTTTAGGTACCAAGTTGACACACTGTCAGATGTTACTGTCCTTCTTCTAAATAGTATATATGGCAGGGATTCCTTAAGGAGAACAATAGTCATAACAAATAGCCGTTGGTTGTGTCAAAAGAACAATTTGATGAAGTACCAAGTTTACACCATGTTACATCAAGACTTTGTCATTTACGTGCACGTATTTTAATGTTGGGCTTATTAACTAATTAACAGTCCAACTTACTACTAGTGCGGCGGAACGTACGTATAATGTGACGGAATGTGATGTTTAGCCTGAGAGTTCAATTTCCAGGATAATAATTGACATTTTTTGCAAGTTGGTGTGTGGATGTAGAATCCATGTAATACTTATATCTGATCAAAAGTAGGATACTTTACTGCTGTCTTGCTAGTTTCTCAAGACGTTATGTTTCAGCCACTTTTGTCCCTACTACACTGTATTTGAACTTTGTTTAATGCCAGATATGATCATCTTAATGTCCATTGTGTCCTGTGTGTAGAACTGTAAATATAAGGTTTTGATATTGGGCTTCAGGTACCGTTTCCCAGTGTTAACCTTCTATGTTATATCTTCGAGTTTCCTCTGTCTACCATGTTGTGATTACCTGATGTAGTGTATTCGTCACTATGTGACTGTATTCTATGTGAAGTGACTTATTAAAATTCTGCCATGCAGTATGTAGCTGGTTCTAGTATTGTTGTGCCAGTGTCGTTTTTAACGAGATACTTACTCAAGTATGCTTCTCTTTCCCAGTATTTCAAAGAACGCCTTACGACTCTTGATAAGATGTTGTTTGATTCAAGGTCACAACATTCAAGGTCACAGTATTGCTGGCAAAAAGGTTTTGTAAAAGGCATTACAAAATCTGACGCATCAGAACAAACGTCCTATGAATCGGCGACAGGACCGTGATCCGCCAGAGGCGCATTGACATAACTGCCGCCTATTTCAAGTTGTGACAGTTACATTCTTCACAGGACACAGTGCATTCAGGCGGGCTGCATAGATGCGGGAGGCGTCGAAATCCGCCTTTTAAATATTCGGAGCTCTCTATTCATTTACGAAGCGTATTGGATTAAATTCCGAAGTGCATTCATGAAACAATCTTCTTTAGATTTAGTTTTCTGTCTTGGTGTGCGACACTTTGTGTCATTTCAACCCTGTGTGAAGGTGCTTGTCTCAAATTACACTGTTTGGTGTGCCAAACATTCGGTAAACTTAGGATATTGACCTTCTCACATCTCCATTCTGTAATACTAACACTTGGCCATTTTCTCTGTCCCATGAGATACTGTCCAGGAAGCGTGTTTTGGCATGTGAGTTCCTCATGGGCACATGCCCCTTGGCACGTGGATAACGGAAATGTTTATGCATGATTTGACATGTCATGTTGCGTGTAGACGCCACGGTGTTGTAATGGTGATACGGAGAAAACGGACACCAGCGAAAACGGACCCCCAAAGTGTCGAGAAAACGGCATTTGTGCCTAGAGAAAACGGCAAACATAGTTGCACCAAGATCAATGGTTATTTATCCTAAATATTAGAGATTTACTTCATTGCGGATAAGCTTTAAAAAATTGATTGATGTGTTAGTTTCGATATCCATGGCGGTTGAACCTTTTAATCCAATCACCCTCACGAGTGATAAAGCAGGTTAATAAAACTAAGAATTAATAGATCATCTTATCTAATACTTTCACCGCCAACCACAGTAAATTATCCAATTAAGGACCGTTTTCTCGTGAGTGGTGTCTGTTTTCTCGAATTTTGTTGTTTAAGCCGTTTTCGCTTTGGTCCGTTTTCACTATAACCCTTGTAATGTACACCTTCGCGCTTGCGTCATTGATATCATAACTCCTTGAATGGCATTTAGAAGCTGGTATAATGAACAGGAACGATTTTTTATGGATAGACGCATCTACATCGACACGTCGCATCCACTGCAATAACAAAGTTGTCTATCCATTAAAAAATAGTTCCCGTTCATTGATATCATGTGTTCCTTTATTTTGTGTCGGTAATATAAAGTAAATTTAGGTATCAGCTTTAACAACATTGGGAGCGGTGGGGTAGCCAAGGGCTTAAAGCGTTCGCTCCTCACACGGGCACTATGTGCGAAGCCCATTTCTGGTGATATTGCTGGAACGTTGCTAAAAGCGGTGTAAAACCATATTCACTCACTCTCTCATTTCACAACATTGCTGTCATCTCTACACATTTCCCGAGCTTTGTCACCTCTACTAAGTGGACAGGAAATAGAGCGTTTGGTTTGAGGATTGATTTTTTTCATGTCAGTACAGTAGGTGTTGCAACTTCTGGTGTCCCCTGGCGTCCTGTTGTAGGTTTGTCCAGGGTTTCATCATGAATTTTGGATTGGTAGATTTATAAGTGTCAATAATAACTGTGTCAATGAACCAGAATAGGACTGTCCCTGGGTGCGCTTCAATGAATGTTTCATAGAAATGAGCTTCTTGGGATATCAACAGAGCTGACACATTTTAATTTATGCATAATGCTGCTGTGTTGTAAAAATACATTTGTTCAAATTGTTGATCATGATCGATGAGGCGTTACTATGCATTATGTATACTAGCGTAAGAAAAAAGGCAATGTTTGAGTAATTTTTTGTAAATGTTACAATCGAAGTTGGTGTCCATAAACTTACGTCATCTCAAACACTAATGACATAAAGAAGGTATTACGCAAGTGTGTTTGGGGGTGGACGGGTGGGGGATCATTCTCCAAATCAGTATTTCTGGTGTCTCCCGTCGTGATATTGCTGGAATATTAGTATTGCTACAGGGGGTGTGAATATCCGGTTTAGAATCAATGACGTCATTCGATACTTCTGATGTTCATCAATGACTTGTCAACCCGCACATGTCAACCCGCTCATGACCTTAAAGGAATAGCTATGGGTATCCATATACATCATAAAGTTATCACACAAAATACAACTCATCAAATGTCTGCATATTGACTCGAGGTGTGTTCACTCAATGAACACGGGCGGTGGCGTAGCCTAGTGGTTAAAGCGTTCGCTCGTCACGCCAAAGGGCCGGGTTCGAGTCCCCAAATGGGTACAATGTGTGAAGCCCAATTCTGGTGTCCACTGCCTTCATATTGCTGTAATATTGCTAAAAGCGGCGTAAGACTAATCTCACTCACTCATTCGGTGAACGTCAGGCGAACACAACGTGGGGCCGTGTGAACTGCGTCATCGAACTCCGACTGCCCACATACAGGTTATTGTGTATGTCATCTATCGCAGCTGTTCCTGCCCAGGCTAGATTAATCACAGGACACCGTGACAACATAGGCTCTATTATCCTCTCGCGAAGCAGTGTTACATGCTTCTGTCAAGCTCACGCACAGTAGTTCATGGATCCAAATTTAATTCGGCTATAACAGGTGTTGTGAATTGGGAATTACCATTGCATCTTAGAATATTGATATATAGCAAGGTGTGAGGACACCTATGGACACGTTTTATGAATAATAACTTATTTTTGTATTCTTTACACGACGTTTTTCTAAAGAATACAAAAGAAGTTGTTATCCATAAAACGTCTCATGTATTCATGTTCGTCCAACTTCACCATGCACTTTTGTGTCTATGTGTGTGAGTGTGTTGTCTTTTAAAAAATCTATGTAGGCCTCAACAGTCTAGACATGATTTTCATGTCCGGAACACTGCAGAGGTATTTGAACAACGCCTTCGAAAGTGATAAATTTATTGAAAGATTGAAAACTGGCATAGTGGGAAATGTAAATTAATAACCATAAGACATCCCCAGTATAATTTTCATAGCGCATCGCTGACAAATCTGTTTCTAAAAATTCAAGGTACATAAGTTACTGTTCATTAATTAATACACACTCTCCCTATGTCATCGATATCCATTTCCTCTTGAAACATTAGCACATAATGTTGATATTTACTGATGTCAGTCTGACCAATGTATCAGTTGGTCAGATATACAGGAATTACATCCTATCGCATCTTGTCCATTTGATATAATTTTGGGTTCACATGATGGCGAAGAGCAGTCCTTGCAGTCATGGCACTGTTTTGTTAAAGATCCATGTATATCGTGTAGGGGTCTGTTTCCAATTAATACTGCCGTGCCTATAAGGAAAAAACCCGTATTTTCCCATTTGCCTGTGCAACGTAGATTTTGTCAGCAGCGTCCAGCGATAGAGCTATCGGGTTCTGAAGACCCGTATCTCGTGTGACAACATCACCAATAACAGCACCATCATCACCAGAAATTTTCACAATGCAGTTTTTGTCCTTATCGACAACGAACACATCTCCTCTGGAATCACAGGCAACTCCAACCGGCCAGATGAGTTCCTGGTCACGCGGCTCAACTCTCCACAGAAGACTACCTTCCAATGAGATGCAGGTGACATCGTGGTTGGCACAGTCGCTGACGATGATGTTGTTATTTGGCGTGGAACACAGATGGGATATTTCAGTGAACATTCCCTCCAGCGGTGCCGTGTTGATGAACTTGTTTGATGGTTTTCCCTTCAGCGTTAAGTGATCAAGCACGGTTAGCCTTCCACCTATTATCGTTGTGGTCGTTGTGTTGACGAAGCCCAGGAGCTTCTCCTGTGTTGTCACTGTCGTCATACACGTGTACCACTTCTCGCTCTCAATGCTATTCACTTGCCTAAGGTCTGACGTAAACACGAAAAACTTATAGTTCATAAGACTCACAATGACTCTTTCTTCTGCCAATTTTGCAATAGATTGCGGATAACCGCTGAATCGATGGGAACTACTTTTGGGCTGGCCATCAACTTCGTAGAAAGATTTCAAACTTGCATTGTCATAGTCAAGGATTAATATCACAGGTGAAGTTTTCCCTTGGAGGATAACGATGTTCCTAAGTTCAGGATCATAGTTGTCTTCATCATAAGCTTTGTGTTTATTGTTCTTTGAAGAACGTAGGATGGATTCTGTGGTTGTTCAGTCGGAATCTGAACTGTGATTGCAGGCTCAGGTGGACGAGGTGGTGGATCTGCACCGTTGTCTGATGAAGCTTCGCCGTCTGAAGTCCCCTGTACTCTGGGTACGTTATATCTCTGGCCTGGTGTTTCCGGGACTGTGGGTACGTTATACCTCTGATCTGATGTTTCCGGGACGGCGGGTACGTTATACCTCTGCATTGCTGGAGCTGAAACCTTCTTCTCCGGTTGTGGGGTGTTCTTCCAAGGCTCAAGGCCACCAACCGCATTCATGGCATCGCTTTCTGAGTTTGACCATATCGATCCTAATTCCAGGCTACTCATTAAGGACTGAACGTTCTTGATATTTCCCTGAAATGAAAACAGAACGGGACAACTATCGACTGGTGGATCAGTAACAAACTTCATGACATCTTCCTGTTGCTTCTGAATTCGTGGGAGACATTCCATGGTAGCATACTCCGATCCAGGGGACAAAAGGCGGTCAATCAGACCAATGGTATCTTGTGTTTCCTCTACCAGCTTCTGAAAACGTTTCACGTTTTCTTCACTTTCAGTTTTCTTTATGTCATAAGAATTGTTAAGGTCTTTGATTAGGACGTTTTCCTTTCCCTTGATGTCTCCTATCAAGTTTTCGACATATGCTTTAATGTCACTCTCGGTTTCGAGACGTGTGTCCTCCATCGTCTTGATGGCCTCTTTCTCTGTGTCAATTTTAACCTGAATGAAGTTTACAGCAGGTCTGAGGACTTGCAGCATAGTGTTCAGTTGCGATTTACGATCGCTAAAGTGACTTGGTGATCCCGTCACTACAATAGCGTCAGAGTGAGCCCTCTTATCTGAAAAAGAAATGCCCAGTATAATGTATATGTCAGGTGTGTGAATGGTAGTTCAGGTGTCATGTTGTTTCTTTTCCTGTTTCTCTTTTAAGGGGGTCATTTTTATGTTTTCTAAAATGTATCTTACAGCATAATTTACTACAATCGGCATTATCAACATAACTGGTAGATTTATGGCAATAACAAACTGCTTTCACCTTTCTCCATTTGACCCAACGCTTCCAATATCCCAGCTAGTTTGAAATCTGTTTTGATGAGCCCCGCCCACTTCTGACGTGGTTGAAACGCGTCCTGTGGGACTGTCACGTGTCTACATACAGGGCATGGGATTCCCCGGATGTGGTTGCCATGGTTGATATGATGCTGCAGACATTCATGGCAGAAAGTATGAAGACACTGCAGCGTCTTCGGCTCTGTGAAGGGTCGGTAACAGATGCTGCATGTCAGATGGTCGTCCTTCAGGCTTTCAGCTGTAGCCATCTTGACAATCTGTCTGATAATGAAACAGTAGTAAAAGCAATTACTAGCAGGAAAACAACACCTGCAATTGGTTATACAGGTACGCCGTGAAGATATAAACGAAATACTGCTGAAGCGGCGGTAAAATCGAACCAAGCAAGATGTGTAAGCGTGTACTAAGATGCAGTGACTTTTTGGACAGTTTCTTGGAGACGTCAAACAGCTATCAGGGGAATGTGTGAGTGAATATGATTTTACGCCACTTTTAGCAATATTCCACCAATAGCATGGCGGGGAACACCAGAAATGGGCTTTACACATTGTACTCAGGTACAGTGGAATCGAACCCGGGTCTTCGGCGTGACGAGCATGTGCTTAACCTTTAGGCTGCCCCACCGCCCACTTTTCAGAGGAGCAGAGGCTCAGTAAACTTGTGATGACTTCAGCTTGTGCAGGTCATGAGAAGGCAATTCTCTGTATCAATCGACATTCCATAAAATCCTACTTTGCTCCTGCATTATCTGTTTGAATGGAACTGATTTTCCAGGTGTAACCTCACGGTTCTCGTCCTAAAACAACTGGACTTTCTTGCTAGACGCTCTCCAGAAATCTGTTAAGTACTCATGTAATTAGAACCGGCTAAACACTTTCCATGTGTAATACCGACTCAGTGATTTGCATGTTTAGAAATTGTGTAGATATCATATTCCATGTAAGCTTTGCACTTCATATGGATGAACATACGACCATTGTTAGGCGTAATATGTCTAAAGGTTCCCAGGATCAAGTTTTCACATTTCACTTTGATGCAGCGTCCTTATTTTATTTAAAAAATATATCCATGATATTATCAATTAAAACATAGATCAAGTCTATTCTAAGTCAAATGAGTTCAGGAATTTAATCCATTCTAACTAATCCTATTTTGGTTTTACTAAAGCGAATCACTCATTTGCGCTTATTCACTATTGACATAAAAGCAATGGAAGGTTACTGGCCATATTTTAAATATATATGTTTGTCTGGTTAGGTCGATTACCCTATGTGGGTGCATTATTTGGAGCAATAAATAATGGTTGCATAAAAACCATACATTTCCCCATTCCTTTCATCACGATTAAATGATTTCTTTTATTTTGACACCATCCCCAGGGTTGATCAATAAGTCGGACACGCGGTATGTTTCTAGGTGGCAGATGGTAGAGCAGAGTCTTATGCGGAGTCTCGGTGAATATGCAAACATATTTCTGTGGCAAATATGCATGAGTGGGCGAGGGATTTGTGGGGTCTGGTAAATAACACCAAATTCACAGTGTATGTACATGTGTATGCTTATATATTGCAATATTATTATGACTTCACGTTGCAACAGTTGCCCGTTCAAATTGGATAACATCATATCATATCATATTATATCACATGTCCTACATATACATGTCCTTTACGTGCAGTTCATGGTGACACACATGGTGACGTGGATCCTGATTTAAGAGCAAATGAGTTATTGTTTTGGCGTTAATCCGGACACATAAAGGGGAGAAACTTTAGTGTAGGATGATTGCCAACGACCCATTCTAGATTGCCTCAACAACAGGAATTCAGATTTGTCTTTGCTTTTTTTTGATTATATTAATTTGTTTTTCGATTAATATATTTCAGAAAAGACAGCTCTATATCCGGGAATATATGTCAGCCCAGTGTCTGTACTGGACGAATGGGTGTCTATCACCCACTCACAAACAAACACATGATAGTTTTCAGTACTACGGTCTATTGTTTTACACAATATATGATATCTACTGATGTGTCAATATCTGTATCTATTTCACACAATATATCATATCTACTGATGTGTCAATATCTGTAGCTATCACAGAGTAAGAATCACAGTAAAGACAAATAAAGGTTTATATAAATAGGGCTTAAGGATTACATCTTCCATACTGATAGTATCAAAGAAGCTAAACTGAAATAATATTTCTGGTCTCCAACCTGTATCATAGCATCAATCGGACGCTGTTAAAGTAACATACACTTAGCCTTCATATATAATTGTTAGGCCAACGAATTCACAAACTGTCCGCTTTTGTTGAGCAGTTCATATCACAGTATCGGAACTAAATATTCATCAATGTTAATAAATCCGTAGTTGTGGATTCAGCTAGTAACAAAAGACAAGATCCATTACTCAAACCTATAAGCAATGTTTCAATTACTCACCGAACTATCTTGCTGTTATCTGCCGTTATCTGGTGATGAAGGGGCCAGGACTATATGCAGGTACTCCTACACATTATGGGCGTTAAGCTTCTGACAAAGTGGACTGAGTTATTCCGAGGCGTATGTCTGTTCTTTTCATGCCCCTACATAAATTGGCTGTGTGCAGCTGTACAGCGCCATAACTAGCGACTAGATAGTCGATCCCGTTACAAATTCAACAATAACGGCAACAGGTTGCGGGCATTGAGCGCCGTGCTGTCATGTTCTCGTGTAACATTACTGCATAGGAACTTAACAACAGCTCCAATAACAACTGTAGGATTGTTTGTGTGAGGTATGATATTCTTCGATTATATCAATACGTTCTCTGTGACTGCCAGTGTTCAAACCGTGTTTGTAATCGATTAATAAATTGATTTGTAATATTTAAATTGCGAATTCAATCGGAGCGGACACAATCATAACTTTTTTTATTACGTTCAAACGACATTGACAACGATTGACAGAAGGTAACAAAGACATTTTAATACCTATGAACAAAACACGTGTTGGTCACATATGATAAAAACATTATGCTTTTGTATATTTTCGTGTCAATAGAAGACGATTACGTGTAAAGAGATGAGACAAATCGCTAAAACATTGAAGAACGATGCATGATTTCACGATAAAACATTGTTCGGTCATGACGTCATTTTTGGACAATATTTTTGAGAGGGTGTTGAGTTTTGCTCCACCATGGTTGTTGGCAACGCAGATGTCTCATCGGAAAGTGGCGACATATGGCAGTCGTTATACACACTGTCAGACAATCGGAGAATAATACCAAACTTAACATGTGTTCATTTAATGGTGTTTTCCGACCTCGCCGATATCGGAATGTATCCTGGGAGTCACTATTGTATAGGATAAGACACATTTCTTAACAGAATGTGAATATTACTCCGATCTACGATATGATTTCTCCACATATCTTCTCCAGCATATTCCTAAGGAAACCTAACCCCGACAGAACAATTTACAAAAATTATGCAACATGATAGCTTAGCCGTTCCCCTAGCCGCAGTTGTTAATGTCAAGAGGAGAAAGTTTCAACTTGCATTATAAATAGTCCGCTTCTGACCTGGGAACTGACGCACTATTCTCACTCAAGATGTATATACATTTCCCATAGTAAATAATCTGTATAATACAGAGGAATCTGCCACAAGGTATTTAATTTATCTATTATTACATCCATGATTTTATAGCTTCATACACACTGTTGTTTTTTATATAGGTTGCATTTAGGCTAACTGATTAGTTTATACTTTTATTCTACTGTTACGATTTCCTACATCTCAGACCTCATGTCTTATTGGCGGGTGGTGTATATTATATATTGTCTTGTCTTTGTGATATGTTTGTATGTATACCGCGTGACAAGTAAATAAAATATCTTCTTATGTTATCTTATCTTGTATAAATGCGGATAATAGTTTTCAAAGCTTCTACATTTTGTTAATTAAAATCCTGAGTGAGTGTGTGATTTAAAATTTAACGTCACCTCGGCAATATTTCAGCCATGTAGTGACGAGAAAGGTTGTGCAAAAACAATAAATAAGAGTTGCAAACAACCCGTAAATGAAGGACTGTAAAACAACTAGAGTATCACAGGTGGTGTTATAACTAGCATGTAACTCTAAATTTACGAAGACAATACAATATAAAAACAGGCTATAGGACCCAACAACTGCAGGCAGATCACCATACTAGGGACCTTGGGGACTTACTGTGCCATTGCTACCTGCATGGACCTTAGTTGGATTTACACCATCCCTTCAGCCGCTAGCGAGGGGTAGGAAATTTAACCATAATTTAGAATTACAGATATTATACGATTAGAAAGCATGGTTGAGCTAAATTAACTCTGAAAGTTTTGGGACTTACTTTCCCTCTCAGGATGACAATAATTTTACGATACTTTAACCCCCTTTGAGGATACAGCCATAAACAATTTATACTACCATGTGTAATAAAATAATATTTATATATTTACAAAACATATTGTTCAAAATTTATCTAATAATTCTTTTACGTTTAAAAATTCAATAACTGAATCATAATTAAAATCCGAAAATAGGCTACACACAATACTGACATAACAAATAGACTGCTGTGTTTATAAACTGCGGGTGAATAATTAATCCCCCCACGAGGTGTATTTTCCAGACTGACAACTCTCTGTGTTGTAAAAGAAAGCTATTTTCGAAACGTTTTTCTTTCTAAAAATCATAGGAATCCCTGATGGTCCACGGGATGGTTTGGGTAGCCTAGTGGTTATAGCGTTCGCTGGTCACTCCAAAGACGCGGTTTCGATTGCCCATATGGGTACAATGTGTGAAACCCATTTCTGGTGCCCTGCACCGTGATATAACTGGAATATTGCTAAAAGCGGTGTAAAACCATACTCGCGCACTCACCTGATGGTCCACACTGTAATTCTAATTCAAACTGCATTTGCCCATTGAGGGATCACTTTGTTTACTTGTCGCCGCCGAGTACCTCTGTTTGGCGTGGAGCTGAACAGGGACACATGTGACAGGACCTTTCATACTAACATACATGTATATATGTCTGGGCTATTTGAAGCCTAGGCAGTGGTAACAATTACAAACCTTTATTAAGGGCAGCCAGGCATGGAATGACAGCTGCCTGGGCAGAACGGATTCATTTCAATTTTGTTTCCTCTTTTTCAGTTTTCGCGGTTGTTCAGTGTCAATTCCAATAGCATAACCAGAAATCTATCCGTAAAAAAGGATATGAATTCAACAAACGCTAAAGCAATTAACATCGGTATTATTAAATAAATCAATACAGATTACTGCAAAGGAAGCAAAATGTTCTGTATGTTCTGGAAGAAGCCAATTACTCTTGACTCCCAATGAACATGAAATCCGAATCTGAACGGAAACAATGAGATACCAGTATTCTTCTGATTAACAATGAATTACACTGTCAAATAACATAGAATTAGCATGAGAAATAACTGATGAAAGAACAGCTCATGGTATGAGCACCTGTTCATGACAGTTTAAACAGTGGTGACATCAGATATTCAGAAAAGTGAGTCCTGCGCAACAGGCAGTAACGTCACAAATACATGCAAAGGCATGGCAATTGTTTAACTGGGCAAGCAACTTCCAATAACTACAACGTTTACTGGAATCCTTAACCTTCTTACCTCCACAAGCTTGTTGTAACGATGACTTGGTTCATAGCATGTCGTAACCTGCTGACGGCGTTGACAGTTGCTCACTATATCAATCATTCGTCTAGACGCCATTATACGCTTGTGATAGAGTGGTGTGGTTTAAAATAACAAACGAATAAACTTGTAGTATTCTCTGTGAATACAGACATGGAGAAAATTTTAAACAAGGTTTATTACATGGATACATGGTCGGATATTATCTTCAACTGGTTGCAGACGTTGCTGGAACAAAATAGCATTTGGCCTCTAGTTTTACACAGAAACAATATTGTTCACTGGCCGTACCGTTGTCCTGAAAAACACGGTTTTAAAATATACAGTAACACGTGTTTACATTGAAAATAGATATCACCCTCATGCCATGCGTCATGAGTCATGCTGTATTAAAATTGATATCATTTCCTGACGACGACACGATACTGACTAAGTAACAAGCAGTTGTCAATATCGCACGCTCCATCCTGTTATATATTGGTACGTTCAACCGCCGACAAGCGTGATGGGAGACGCCATGCCTCACACCGTCTCAATCAATAACCAGCTGTTGAATATATTGAACAGACGCTGTGCACAGAGAGAAGGAAATCAATCATATCTGTAGGTGTACAGCACCTGTATTCTTGAACGTTGTAATGCAGGTCACATGGATGTTTAACACATGCTGCTTTAGTAACAATGCGGTTTCATCTGCACCGACCCATCGTCATCAGGGTCCTGTTTCTCAAAGCTATCGTAGCGCTACGACTGTCGTACCTCATATACTGTAACATAGACTTACGATAGTCGTAGCACTACGCGCAGATGGATGCTCGTGCTGTTGATCACTGGATTGTCTGGTCCAGACTCGATTATTTACAGGCCGCCGCAATATAGCTGGAATATTGCTGAGTGCGGCGTAAAACTAAACTCACTCACTCACACGCAGCTCTACGATAGCCTTGTGAAACGCAGCACAGGAATCCTGACTGTTTCGTGGCTTCCTAAATTGACAGTGTGAAGGCAATTTCTGGTGTCCCCCGCCGTGATATTGCTAAAATAATGCCAAACACGGTGTGCAACTAAACTCTCACACACACAAATTGACAAGAACGTCTTCACATGAAAATGAAGAAGTGACACTGAAATCCTGAAACATGTAATGTACGTGTTATTATAACTGCCTAAATCCATATCACATGCTTTATATTCGTTGGAGTCACATTGTAGTGTTATGATAAGTCACTGTGATCGTGGAAATATCTGTACACGATGTACACTGTGATGTGGATACAGTCCCATCTGCGATCAACACATAGTCATGCATAATCCGTACCAGCAGCTGAGGCAGCAAGGTCCACGGAGTAGCCTTCGGCACTACATTATGCTGCGCAGAGTTAAGTCCCTTAGGTGTGTGGCACCCGTGAAGAGCCACCTCCTCGTGGTGGGTGCTGGGTAACGCTAAGAGCTCTTCAACCCTCCGTTGGTGGACCCGGGGGTATATTTGGTCCACCAACCCGTTTGCCTTGGGTTGCGCCCCTGTGTCGGTAGAGGACGGGAGTATTGTGATTGAGGGCACTGGGAGCCTGGAACCGTGTTCCTTTTGCCCAACACACCACTTCGCCCCTTACTTCACCTAGACGGGTAGTAGAACGGGCCCGGTTCTACCAATCGGCTGGTCACGCCGAGCCCTGTGCATGGTTAATCTTTTTGCACAAACTTTGTTATTTTGGTCTTGGCTATTTTGAATTATAATGTATGATACTTTTTGATCGCCCCTCGTACAGATATTGTGTGAGCCTCTCACATACGGAGAGGTTCCTTGCATGAAGGAAAGGGGGCATAACTCCGCTAGGTGCTAGTTCCCTGTGACACAGGTCACCTGGGGAGAATTTTCTGGGAATAAGGTCAAAATATATATGTGACCTTTCCATGAGTAATCAAACACAAATAGCAATGTCGAAA